CTTAATTTTTATTGGACAGAGACAATATTTAAGTAAACATAATAGAAACTAACGACTAAACTCTTACGTTTTGAGTCAAGCTGTCCAGGGTTTTGTGGAGCTCTTTGGCAAACTCCAGGTTATGCACCACCTGCTCGTATTTATCAGTCGCAGCCTGACAACAAAAACGATTCTGTCATGGTCACGTCAGACGATTGAGTGTCATTTTGAAAATATGGGCTCACCATTTGGTCTTTATTTAGAGTCTCACCACAGGTCAGGCATCTCTTATAGTGTTCCAGTTTCAGCTACGGCAAAAGCAAGACGGGGGGAAAAAACAGCCATATTTGCGACCACACACCCCTGATATGCTTTTGCCATTGTTTCATGTTCCTACCTTCTTTTTCTCCAAGTTGCGAACCTTATGTTTGAGGCAGATAAGTCCATCTTCTATGTAGGTTTCATACCCATGATAGGCAGTGGGGAAGTCAAAGCTCGGCGGGGCCCCCAGGCTGGCAGGTGAGTCTCCCTTCGGACTCAAAACAATCAACTTGCCTTCCATTCTTTCCTTCTTCTCTTCTGACTGTTCGCCAGCAAGTGTGACACCCACCTTGGGGGAAGGAGGAAGCTGCACCATTGCCAAGCTCCTACAAGAGGGAGAAAATGTATTCGCTTGTTTCTATCTAGAGGTGCAACCGCCATGATCAAATTGATCGATCATTTGTTTAGATACTTTTAATTGAAAAGTTTTCCAGAATTTCAGTGTCACTGCTATGTAAATGTTTCATTTAGCTTTGGATTAAAAGAAAAAAAAACTGCAGGGAGTTCCCCAGCTCAGCATGCATCTCTTAGAAAGTTAAGTGACATTTTAAATAAATAATTCCCCGACGTTAACCCATTTAAGATCTCTTATCTGCCATTAAAAAAACACTGCGGATATGCGTCAAAATCAGCATTTGCTTTTGAGCCTTCAAATACGAACAAAAGGGATAGATTTCAAGTCCATAGAAAACGCACACTCTGCATCAAAAGGGAATTTTCAGCGTTCATTTCATTGTGGCGCCTGCATAACAAGGCAGTTTCGTTTCACCCGCACAAAGTGTCAAGTTCACGCTTGTTTTAAAATGGCGTTTAGTGACAGCGTTGAAGGGATTCCTAGCCATGAAATAAGTTTGACAGCGGATGGCTCACAAACCACAACAAATAAAACCCTCGTGAAGAATTCCCACCAGCTCGTAAACCGTGCAACACATACCTCATTGAATGAACGCGGAAAATAAGTTTACTGGTTTGACGCGATTTAAATAAAACGAAATGCAACCGAAGAAAACCGCTTCGCCAACTTTTGCCATCGTTCCCAAACTAACTCGAACCATTACTTCATTTAATTGAACAGCAGGGCGTAAAAAAAGTCCCATTACAACGGAAGACGCAAAAACAACACCAACCTCGGTCAGATCTTCAGACAGAGTGAGCGTCGACCGGGCCGAGTTTGGGTTCAGAATGACGGGACTGTAGGAGACCACCTGCTTCATTCCTTCCCACACGTTGAACTTGAGGTTGCCCACGTGTTGGACTTCATCCAGCAGAGCTCCTGGGAACTTCTTGGGCGCGTCAGGTGGCTTCTGGATTCTGGTCCTCAGCGTGTTGAAGTTCTTCATGAAGGAAACGGGGTCAGACGTCAGTTTTTCCTCCGTGCTTGTGATGGTGGCGGAGAGAGCGGCCATGTCTCTGTCAAGAGCCTCGATCCTCTCTGTCATGGTCTGACTCTTCGTTTCCTCTTCCTCCCTCACCGCAGACAACCTGGCCTCCTCCTCCACCTCCAGGAAGCGACGAAGCTCCTCGAAATCCTTCTTGATCTTGCTTTTAACCTGCTTCCTCTGGACCTTGATGTACGCCGCTTGCTCGTTGCAGTCGTCTCTTATCTCCTTCTGATTTTTTTTTAACACGGGTTAAATTATATAATAATCAAAAATTATGTTTTGTTGTATTTTTTTAGTTTCTTGAACACGTCCATCAATATAAAACCTCCAGCAGGGTGTGACCCGATGACCTCAACATCTCCACCACCATCACTGGCTTTGAGTCGAAGAGTTTCAGTTTCTCCTTGTGCAAGCTGCAGACGTCCTCCGACTCCACTGAGGCATGTTTTGAAAAGGCCTTGCACAAATTCCTGAGGGCCAAGTTGAGAGGTACATCCGTCGACCCGCACGTTTTTCTGCAGACCGGACATGTTCGCTCTCCTTTGCCATCCCACCACTGCTGCGCACACGCACGACAGATGCTGTGACTACACGGCAGCATGACAGGATCTTTAAAGATCGCCAAACAGGTCGGACAGTGGAGATCATTCTCAAATTGGCTCGCCATTCTCCTCGCGAAAGCACCGACACCGTCGACAAGTCTTCCAACGTTCTGTCTCTGGACAGCCGCAGTGTGTCTGCCTCGGTCACAAGTGGTTCGTTGACTGTGAGTCCACAAGTGCAATTCCTGCAGCGCTTTTGTTGTCAGACTTGAGTTGATTACCTTTGAAGAGAGCGGTATTATTGTACAATTGTATGAACCGCGATTTGCCAGGGACCGAAGTGCAACATTAAACGAGATAGCGACGGAGTGTCGAGTGAAAAAGAAATGCTTTCGTTGTCTGACTTGATCCCATTACCTTTGGACACCTTGATGGAGTTATTATAGTTTTATTATTTTATTATCGTAGAACTGCCATTTGCCAGTTGCTAACTATGCCAGCTCACCATGGATCAATTAGAAAGTGAAATTTTAAATCAATAATTTCCCGACTTTTACCCATTTAAGATCTCTTATCGGCCATTAAAAAACTGCGGATATGCGTCAAAATCAGCATTTGCTTTTGAGCCTTCAAATACGAACAAAAGGGATAGATTTCAAGTCCACAGAAAACGCACAATCTGCATCAAAGGGGAATTTTCAGCGTTCATTTCATTGTGGCGCCGGCATAACAAGGCAGTTTTGTTTCACCCGCACAAAGTGTCAAGTTCACGCTTGTTTTAAAATGGCGTTTAGTGACAGCGTTGAAGGGATTCCTAGCCATGAAATAAGTTTGACAGCGGATGGCTCACAAACCACAACAAATAAAACCCTCGTGAAGAATTCCCACCAGCTCGTAAACCGTGCAACACATACCTCATTGAATGAACGCGGAAAATAAGTTTACTGGTTTGACGCGATTTAAATAAAACGAAATGCAACCGAAGAAAACCGCTTCGCCAACTTTTGCCATCGTTCCCAAACTAACTCGAACCATTACTTCATTTAATTGAACAGCAGGGCGTAAAAAAAGTCCCATTACAACGGAAGACGCAAAAACAACACCAACCTCGTCGCTCAACTTTGGGCGTTAATTCCAAAATCGACAACGATTTGAAGTCACCAGCACTCGTTGTTCAGACTGTGCAAGGTGGGGTCAGTTTGCAGAAGGCGCCCCCCAGCCTTGCTTTAGATTTCTCGGGCGCTCCGTTTTGAATACTTTCGCTTTCGTTTTCACGTTTTTTTGTTTTTTTTTTAAACTGGGATTGGCTTCCTCTACTTGAGCGATCTGAAACGGCAGAAGAAATTTATGAACAGGTGGACGGCCCGTGTCTCTTTTGGTCATTAGACATCACGTTTGGAAACAAATGTTTCAAAACAGAAAAACGACTGAAAAATTGATTTTCGTTTTATTTGATTTTCGTTTGAAAACAGACTGCACACGGTGTTGCAAGATGAGGTATGATTTATTTACTTATTTTTTTGGAAGGAGGAATCAAAACAACAGAAGTCACCGACCAGCTAATTCCAACACAAAATGACATTTTCAGATTTTTTTTTAACACGGGTTAAATTATATAATAATCAAAAATTATGTTTTGTTGTATTTTTTTAGTTTCTTGAACACGTCCATCAATATAAAACCTCCAGCAGGGTGTGACCCGATGACCTCAACATCTCCACCACCATCACTGGCTTTGAGTCGTAACATGAGGCGAACGTGGAATTATTTGCAGCGGAATTTTATCAGTTGTCCAAAAGTAAGGAAACAGTTTTATGTTGTCAGACAAACGTGGCCAAGCGGAAGGATTCGTTTTGCCCAACAGAGTGTCTGTAAGTGATTCGGTCAATGAAAGCGTTCGTTGGTTCGTGTCCACGTGAACTCGGATCCTCTGCACTTTCACCGATGGCTTCCAGGATCCAAGTGCGTCGCCGAACAATTTGTATTTCTCATCCCGGAATGTAATCCCCTTTGCTTTCATGTCATCTGGCGAACAAGGGTCCCCCCACGCCAATCCTACTTTCCACTGGATGTTTTCTCCCACCTCAACATCCCACGTGTGTGTTCCAGAGGCCAAAGGAGAACCGATCACGTCACTGAAGGCCGTAGACCTCTCTGGATTACTTGGCCGCTGCTGCTTTTTGACAGAACACACGCTGGTCAGATCTTCAGACAGAGTGAGCGTCGACCGGGCCGAATTTGGGTTCAGAATGACGGGACTGTAGGAGACCACCTGCTTCATTCCTTCCCACACGTTGAATTTGAGGTTGCCCACGTGTTTGACTTCATCCAGCAGAGCTCCTGGGAACTTCTTGGGCGCGTCGGGTAGCTTCTGGATTCTGGTCCTCAGCGTGTTGAAGTTCTTCATGAAGGAAACGGGGTCAGACGTCAGTTTTTCCTCCGTGCTTGTGATGGTGGCGGAGAGAGCGGCCATGTCTCTGTCAAGAGCCTCGATCCTCTCCGTCATGGTCTGACTCTTTGTTTCCTCTTCCTCCCTCACCGCAGACAACCTGGCCTCCTCCTCCTCCTCCAGGAAGCGACGAAGCTCCTCGAAATCCTTCTTGATCTTGCTTTCAACCTGCTTCCTTTGGACCTTGATGTACGCCGCTTGCTCGTTGCAGTCGTCTCTTATCTCCTTCTGATCTTGCAGCCTTTTCTTTGCGTCCCGCAGCCCTTCCCGGAGTTGCTCCTTGTGACCTTTCACGACCTCCTCGAGGGGACGGAACTTGTGGCCAGTGTGGCTTTCCGCATCTCGACAGATGATGCACACGAGCTCCTGGTGGTCCAAACAGAAGAGTTTCAGTTTCTCTTTGTGCAAGCTGCAGACGTCCTCCGACTCCACCGAGGCATGTGAAAAGGCCTCGCACAAATTCCTGAGGGCCAGGTTTAGAGGTACATCCATCGACCCGCACGTTTGTCTGCAGACCGGACACGTTCGCTCTCCTTTCCCATCCCACCACTGCTGCACACACTCACGACAGAAGCTGTGACTACACGGCAGCATGACAGGATCTTTAAAGATCTCCAAACAGGTCGGACAGTGGAAATCATTCTCAACTCGGCTCGCCATTCTCCTCGCGAAAGCACTGACAACCTTCCAACGTTCTATCGGCGGACAGCCGCAATGTGTCTGCCTCGGTCACAAGTGGATCGTTGAGTGCGCTACGAGTCCACAAGTGCAATTCTTGCAGCGCTTTTTTTATCTGACTTGAGATGATGACCTTTGAACAGAGCAGGATTATCGTACAATTGCATAAACGGTGATTTGCCAGGGACCTAAGTGCAACATTAAATGAGATAGCGAGGGAATGTAGAGTTAAAAAGAACAATATAACATGTAACACGTTTCGTTTTCTGGGGGGGGGGCGCATACTGCATCTAAGAGACACACTCTGACATTGACAAAACACCATTTTACATTGTTGTCATTGCTCATGTCCACATGACTGAAAATTGTCATGTCATTCCGAGTTGGAAATTAAATAGATTAAACATTTTCGTCAATTATATGCTCTTGTGTGTCATATTGCACTTTTGTATCGATAATATTTGTACTTTTGTAAGCCTCGGACAATGTCCAAGATAAACTATGTAGACGGGGCGACCCCTAGTGGTCATTCAAAGGCATGACACGTACTCGCCGTCACCAAAATCTCACACCAACATTTGCTGAAATAAAACCACGCAATAAATGCAACAGTACTCCAATTTACAACATCACTATACGGTGTAGAAATTCCGAATGCACGGGAAGCTCACAAACACTTGCTCATCTTTGAGCCTGGCGGGAGGACTGATGAGAAACACGACGTCACTTTTCTTGAATATGATTCGCCCTGGAAGGCAGTGAAGAAGCTGCGCATTCGAGATCTTAACGCAGCATCCCCTGCGCCACTCGTTTGCATTTGAAACGGGTCTTGGGAGCTATTTTTGCCTTCTGACGATGGCAGAGAGCGAAGTCAATACGCCCAGTACACCTATTGAGTACGACAGCAAATACTTTGAATTTGATGGCATTCGGTTGCCACCTTTCTGCAAAGGAAAGATGGAAGAAATCGCCAATTTCTCCCTCAGAGGTAGCGATATATGGATTATTACCTACCCCAAATCAGGTAAACACGTCTCATTTTCACCACGGTGCATTCTGCCACAATCTATCAATAATTGCCGACGTCAGCCTTCAAAAGAAGGGGAGATGCTAACGTACAGACTGCCCCTTAACTCATATTATGCTCGCACTGTTTCATTTGTATTTTATTTACTCCTTAGTCTTTATCCTCCACACACCTACATCAAAACGAAATCTATGAGTAATGAACATCAAATTGTTATTTAAAAAATAATGTCTTTTTTTATAGCACTGTACGGCTGGGATGGGCAACTGGCGGCCCACTGTGGCACGATTGTTTATTCATTTCATTTTGAAATCTAATGTGTGTGTGTGTGTGCTGCTTAATTCATATTCCACAAATGCAATATTAATCCGAATGCCGCGTTCAGACTAGTAGGGCCACGTAGAATTTTTTATTCTTTAAAAAAGAAAATCGAGTTGACCTCCCCAACTGGTTTAGTCAGTGTCCCGCAGGGGTCCATGCTTGACCCTGTGCTGTTTAAACTTTCCATGTTTTCTCTTTGGCAGTATTATTGTTTTAAAAAAGTATTGTTGTTTTTTGTTGTTGTTGTTGTTGTTTTTGTTTTTCATTGCTTCCAATGTCTTTCGGCTTGATCATTTTAGGCACCAGTCTACTTCAAGAGGTTGTGTATCTTGTGAGTCAAGGAGCAGACCCAGATGAAATTGGCCTTATGAACATAGATGAACAGTTACCTGTCTTAGAGTACCCTCAACCTGGCTTGGACATCATTCAGGTATCGTATTTCAAATGCTGTGAGCAGTGATGCAGCATTCATCTGAATTAACTTCATTAAGTTACATTCCTGCAGGAGCTCACATCCCCACGCCTCATCAAAAGCCATCTCCCCTACCGATTCCTTCCAACAGGATTGCACAATGGAGAGGCTAAGGTGAGTTTTATTTTGTTTTTTTTTCCCGAGGCAAAAGAAAAAAACGGGTGGCTCTTGTTAATTTTATTTTTAATTGTGACAGCTTATTAGCGTTTTCTCTTCTGTGGTTTTACGCCAGATAATCTACATGGCTCGTAACCCCAAAGACCTGGTGGTGTCCTACTTTGAGTTCCATCGATCTCTTCGAACGATGAGCTACCGAGGATCCTTCCAGGAGTTCTGCCAGCGCTTCATGAATGACAAGCGTACGTATGCAGGTTGTCAGATGACATTTCAAAATTTTTTTTATTTGCCAGTCTGGTTATTGTTCTGTCCTGCAGGCTTCTGGAATCTCATACACACTTTCCCATCCCTCTCTCCGTAGTTGGATACGGTTCCTGGTTTGAACACGTTTTAGAATTCTGGGAACACCGCATGGACTCCAATGTTCTCTTTTTGAAATATGAGGACATGTACAAGGTAAAATGACTGCCAAACAAACCCGCAAAGGGGTTTGCAAAATTGAGGAGGATGGTCATTGCCGTGTTTTTTTTTTGTTTTGTTTTGTTTTTTTTCTTCTCGTAGGATCTTGGGGCATTGGTGGAGCAGTTAGCCTGGTTCCTGGGAGTATCTTGCGACAAGGTTCAGCATGAGGCAATGGTGGAAAGCTGCAACCAGCTCATTGAGCAGTGCTGTAGCTCGGAGGCTCTGTCCATCTGCAGGGGTGAGTCCAAATCAAAAGATGACTGCAACCCAGTAGCAATCAGCAAAGGCTTTAACCACTCCATCATTTTTTTATCAAATTACATTTGAAGCCTTTCATGCACCCTGTAACCTGATAAGATGACAAGCTGTAGTCACCGCCGTCCCTGAAAAGGTTCAAATACAAACCACCTTCCCCCTCGCCTTGTGCCTCTCCGCAGGTCGCGTCGGTCTGTGGAAGGACGTCTTTACTGTGTCAATGAATGAAAAGTTTGATGCCGTGTATGGACAGAAGATGGGAAATTCCAACCTGAAGTTCGATTTCTGCCTCGGACAAAGGCCTGTCCCCACCCTTTAGTCCACTTGAGTAGAATCCACCAGTCACTTCACGTTAAACGCCGTGGCTGCACATTCACTGAATACTTTTGCTGTGCTAAAACATGAAATGACATATACCGGACGGAGATGTCACGGAGTGACTCGAACTACGAATCTGGATTATCATTTCAAGAAAAATTACAGGGAAAAAAATCATATTTTTTCATTGCACATAAATGTAGCCTTTGTATGAACTTCTGTTTAACTGTATAAATTATGAAAATCAATCTACAATGTTCCAGAAAGTGCAGTATGTTGATGCTTGTTTATTTTCACCACTGCATACAGTGAAGTATTTATTTTAGAACTGATTGACGAATTTTCCTGGATTCTAATGACTTTTAGATTGATATATTGAGAATCCCGCCAATGAATCGAGTCCCGAAATACGAATATGCCGCACTCATGACACGCCCCACACCCATCAGCGAGGAGGGACCAGGCACCCTCCCAAGAGCGTGGGAGGTGGACGAGCTCCAAACCAAAGAGGTGCCAACTCCCACAACAGGCCTCAAGGCCGGAGGAGGGGGGGAGGGCAAGAGAGAGTGGGGACGACCAACGGAAGGCTCAAAGGGCAGAGGAGAAAAGGAGGCCAGCTCCAGTGTTACACAGACGAGTATATGCAGTAATATTTAACCATTGCTTGGTATTGATACACCCACTCCTTAACTACAAATATAATCACATGGTGTGATTATGTTATATTGGTTGCTGCTAGGAGACGCAATTTTTCAAGTCCTGCTGGTGTCAGTGGGAAAAAAAGGCCCGATTGACACCTGTCACATCTCTCCACGCAGCTGTCATCTTGTTTTTTTTTCCCTGCTTCTTTACAGCCCTTGTGAGTAAGATAGTTTTGTTTGTTTACTTGGTTAGTGCTTCGAGATTATTTTCTCCCATTTGGTGAGCGTTATCTGTGTCCCTAACAGGGAGGGTTTTTTTTTAATCCATGACCACTTCTACATCGCAGAGAATCTGTCACTTTAAAGAGCATTTTTGACTTGACTTAATTAAAATAATTGAAATAAATACTTAAATATCTTTCTTCCCTAACCTATAACGTGTGCTGATTAGAGTTGTTGGATTTTAACGCAGAACTGAGTGTGAAGGTGAAAATGAAACAACCACCGGAAAGGGGGCGGGTCCACTGGGAACGTATACCTCATTTGCATAATATACTTACGTTCATAGTAAAACTGTATCAGCTTGTTTTGAGTCCAGTGTTTTTGTTTGGATATACATTGAATGTATATATTCAATTTTTACCCGATAGTATTCATGCTTGCTCTTTATTGTAAATCAAATGTGTTAAATAAAGTTATTTAAAAAAAAGAAAAAAAATCCATTCATAAATGCCACATTACGATGACAATTTAGGAAGTGTGTAAGTGCTAACTCCCTGCAATAAACAAAACGTTAATGATTGTAAGTAGTAAACCATCTCAAACAGGCAAAAAAGAAAAAAAAAATCCGCATGCCCGCGGAGGAGGAAACTACTACGAGAGCGCGCACGCACAGCCCACAGCACATGACGTACGCTTCGGTGCTACGTGCATGTTGTGAGGAGCTGCAAGCCACTCTCTCACTCTGACACGTAGAAGGTTGTCTGTACGGAGATTTGTCGGCAGCTCAAGCAGCTTCAGCCTTTTTAGTTCATCTTTTTTTTATGAACACAAAACGCTAGGATGTTGTGGACAGCAAGCCAGGTCTTCAGGAAATTTTCCACCTCCTCTGTGAGTAAAACATTCGAGCTGCTTTTGCTGCATTCCTACAAAGTTGCCTTGATGGAACTTACTTGGTTTTAGCGATGTTAGATTATTTTCCGTATTTATTAATATCTGTATCAGTGTTGCCTTTGTTGGGGTTGCACACAGTGCAAAACGTTGAGATGTTGCATCAGCACCGTTTGTTTGTTTTTTTCTTTTTTTTTTTTTAAATCTCGATGATCGCGATGCCACCTTGCAAGACATCCTAAAAAATACACGAGATCGTGACACTACTGACTGTGTGGTCTGTTTTCAGGACTAATTGCTTTAAGTTTACTGCAATTCCGACATGCTAATGGATAGGTGCGGTGAACAATTTTTCAGCCTGCTATATGATACCGGCCGCCTCGTGCACTTGACAGAGCCAACTGGCAGCCGCTTTTCTCCTTACACGTGTCTAGGACAGAAGGGGAGGGTGTCGGCGTCATCGTCAGTCAGCCAGTAGCTTTTCACGGCTGTGCTTCTGGCCAATGGCGAACGCTTTATGTTAAGTAGAGCGAAGACCCAACTGGCAACATCTTGCTTCGTGGAAATCAGTGCAATAAATCATTGTGTGCACCCCTCCCCAAATCAACTCATTCAAAATTGTAATATTATTGAGATACCGTATTATGTTTTTTTTCCTGCATACAATTCCAAATTTGCTAAAATACATAAATAAAATACAACAATATTGTCGTGTAGGGCAACGTAAGCGCAACGTAGCCACGTCTGCCGTCTCGTGGTGAATGGTGGTATTGCAACTGAAAACTGCAGTCGATTAACTCATTCAAAATTGTAATATTATCGAGATATCGTGTTATGTTTTTCCTGCATATAATTCCAAATTCCCAAAATAAATAAATAATGCAGTATAGTGGTATTGGGTAACGTAAGCGTAGCGAAGCCACGTCTGCCGTCTCGTGGTGAATGTTGATATTGCACCTTAAAACTAGAGTCGATTGTTATTTTTTTCTTCGTTTAAAAAAAAATATATTGAAAATTTTGCAATGAAAAAAAGACTACATTGTATCGTACCATCAAAACGTTTTTATTTTTTGTTTTGAGGCAATGTAATTAAGTCATTTTGGTGTCACATTCTGCCCCAAATAGAACAGACACTCGGTTAAATAGCAGCAATGGTGGGTACAGGAAATGCAAAAATAAAAATTATACACTCGATGTATTTTCGACGATGGCAGGATCAAATCTCATATACGTTGATTCAGACTGCAACTATGTCCCCCATCACAGATTGGTATGCAAGAGGATTTCTCAATGTCGGCTGCTCTGCCATACGTCACGATGGAGGCGCGCCGCGAGACTTGCGCAGAGACCTGAAACTAATTTCTTTGTCCCTCTCATTGCAGTATCACTTCCAGAATAAGCTCCGACTCGCTATAATTGGCCAGAGCTTGTTTGGCAAAGAGGTGTACAGCAACCTGAGGAAAGAGGGTCACAAGGTGGTCGGGGTGTTCACTGTGCCGGACCAAAACGGCAAGGCCGATCCGCTTGGTAAGCGAGGACCCCATTTGTTTTCTTATGATATGTACCGACGCTTTTAAAACCCGCCCCGCTCTTCCTTGCGTTGCTTTTTCCAGCTTTGGCGGCAGAGAAGGACGGCACACCGGTTTTCAAGTTCCCACGGTGGCGAGTGAAAGGAAAGCCCATCCCGGAAGTGGTGGAAGCCTACATGGCGGTGGATGCCGAGATCAACGTCATGCCTTTCTGCTCCCAGTTCATCCCCATGAACATCATCGATCATCCCAAGCACGGCTCCATCATTTACCATCCCTCCATCCTTCCCCTGCACAGAGGAGCCTCGGCCATCAATTGGTAAGGAGCGTTGTGCGCCGATTGTTGCTAGCTGTCTCTCGATTTTGTTTGTTTCGTTGGCTGATCTGTCTTTTGGGTCATCAGGTCCTTGATCCACGGCGATAAGAAAGCCGGCTTCACGGTATTTTGGGCCGACGATGGGCTGGATACCGGACCGATCCTGCTGCAGCGGGAGTGCGCCGTTGAGCCCGACGACACCGTGGATACGCTCTACAACCGTTTCCTCTTCCCAGAAGGCATCAAGGCAATGGTAACCACTCAAAGGTCATTGTGGCATTCTGCTGTCAAATTTTTTTTTTTTTTCCTTCATTAACGCACAACTTCAAGCGGACAAGTTTTCCAAATGGACACTCATTAACTAAAGACCTCCACGCTGTTGTGCGGTTCTTGCTAAACTTTACGGTTTAGCAAACAAACAAGTGAAGGCGGATGCGGTGTAAAGCTGCTATTAAGAAACTCGGGGTCATGTCAATGGATTCCAGGCATTAGGCAATAATTAACTGCGAATAAAAAAAAAAAAATCCAGCCAGGGATTAAAGGTGATAACTTTATTTACATAGCGCTTTCGCACACAATTTAATACGTTTTTGGATTTTGAGATTTCCTGAAATGGATCGAAAATGGAGACAGGATTCTATGTTGCCACGGTAGTTCACCGCAGTCTCGTTTTCCGATCTAGGTTGAGTCCGTGCAACTTGTCGCCGATGGCAAGGCCCCGCGAATCCCGCAGCCGGAGGAGGGCGCGAGCTACGAAGGCATTCAGAAGAAATCCAACGCCAAGGTGAGGCATCTCATAGCAGCTGCCGATCGCCAATGCAAACTTTTTGAACACGATCCCGCTTTGACATGGAAACTGATAGCTTCAGAGATATCCATGGCAATGAATTATTTTTTTGTTTTTTCTCCATCAGATCAATCTGGCTCAGCCAGCTCAGGCGATTCACAACTGGATACGCGGCCACGACAAAATCCCCGGCGCCTGGACTGTTATTGATGGCAAGGTGGGTGAGCGAATACACATTTTGGTTCGAAGATTTTATTCAAGTCAACATTTCGCCCCCCAGTGCGTCACCCTGTATGGTTCGTCAATGTTGCAAGGGTCAGTACCAGCTGGCCAGCCACTCGACATCGAAGGAGCATCCGCTCAAAGCCTGGTGACAAAAAATGGGCTTGTGCTACACGGGACTGATGGAAAAGCTGTGAGTAGCACTTTCTTCAAGATTTCACCACAAATTATGTGATAACAATTTCACACTTCCGCGGTTCATTTTTTTTTTCTCCTTTGTTAGGTTGTTGTCAAAAATCTGCAATTTGAAGATGGAAAAATGATACCCGCTTCAAAGTACTTTTCTACCGGCGAAACGCAAAGCGTGGAATTAACTGACGATGAGAAAGAGATCGTGAAGGAGATGAGGGCAAGTATTTTCTGCTAAGCGATATTGCCACACCTGCTGTTGTTGTTGTCGGAATGAGGTGACCTTAAATTGTTTTGATGACAGAATATCTGGAAGGGCATTCTCAGCAACGTCGCAGCCATTGAGGACACGACAGACTTTTTCAAGTCTGGAGCTGCTTCCATGGATGTAGTCAGGTAAGAATTATCATATTGTTCTCTCTACCCTGAATATTTTCAAGCCGTCCATGCCATAAATGGCAAAGCAGCCCCAGATCATAATCGGGGCCTTCTCTATGTTTACCAGCTCAGCTGTTTACCACCTCATATCTTATCCCGGTCCAGTCAGTGCAGAGTCCGCACAGTGACATTAGATTCGGTCATCGTCACCTAGCCCCCCTCTCCAAGCGGAATAGAGCACATTCCAGAATGCGCGGGCTTCTTTTTGGCTACCAAAATTTATTTATTTATTCGTGAATGACTAATCAATAAATTCTGGCGGACATCAAGCAATGTTTTGCCTCTCCAGGGTGGTGGAGGAGGTGAAGCAGCGAGCTGGTGTCCTCCTGCAGAATGAGGACATTTACATGGCAACCACCTTTCAGGACTTCATCCAGATGTTTGTCCGCAAATTGAGAGGTGAAGAAGAGGAGGATGAACTGGTCATTGATCACGTAAGTCGGCATCTTTTTTTTTTTTTTTTTTCAATTGTAAAGGACACAGTCCATAATTATAATAAGAATGATAATTAGAGGTGCGAGCGCCCCACATTGGGGTACGGGTATGTTGGACGACTGACACGTACTGCAGATGAATCAAGCAGAAAAATCCACCCGCTTTTATCCATCTTAGGGGGCCGCCATTTTGCCTTGTACTGCCACTCGCTGACGACTGAAAATGACACCACAGTGCCTAAGGTCTCAGCTTGCGAACGTCACATGACCAAACCCAGAAAACAGGTGAGCCGTTTTCATCCATCTCACGGGGGCGGCCATTTTGCCACTTGCCGTCGCCTGAAAATGACATCACGGTTGCTCAGGGCTCAGGTAACCAGCATTACCGCCTCTTCCGGTTTCCTGAGTTTGTTCACGTGACGTTCGCAAGCTGAGTCGTGGTTCGCAAAATGATCGCCAATAAAACACGCCCGATATTTATTTTTAATTAGCGGTACGTTCATTTTGCACATAGCAATAGCCGGGTCCTGATTTATAGATGGCCGATTTATGTTTCGATATTAGAAGACTGACATGCTGCGTTCTACCAGGTCACCAAGGAAATGAACAGCATGACGGTGAAAATGCCGCACCAGTGTTTTATCAACGGCGCATTTGTGGACGCCGAAAACGGCAAGACCTACGATACCATTAATCCCACCGACGGATCGGTAAGGGATTTGAGATGTTGTGAGCCCAAGCACAAAAAGTAAGAAAGCCGATCCGTCATTTCATCCAAAGTACTTGACGGACTCTTTGTGCGTGTCATCATTTGGACTAGGTCATTTGTAAGGTGTCCTATGCTTCAGTGGGGGACGTGGACCAGGCCGTGGCGGCTGCCAAGCAAGCATTTGATCACGGGCCCTGGGGCAGGATGAACCCGAGAGACAGAGGAAATCTACTTTATAAGTGAGTCATCAACAAAGGGTGCATACTCATACCGTACATTCAAAAAGAGCAAAATGTAAATCTAAGCTTTCTGCTTCCGTTATCAGACTGGCGGACTTGATGGAGCAGCATCAGGAGGAGCTGGCCACCATCGAGTCCGTCGACTCTGGAGCCGTATACACGCTGGCCCTCAAGACTCACGTGGGCATGTCCATCCAAACCTTTCGCTACTTTGCCGGATGGTGCGACAAGATACAGGTAAAGTGATGTGCGCAGGGTTGCCGGTGAACACCAGTCAGGGTTTTTGTAATTTTTTTTTTTTAACTAACTGCTGTTTTTTTGGTGGTATTTTTGGGGTGGTTTTTTTTTTTAACTTGCTGCTAGTTGTTTTTTTTTGTGGGTATTTTTGGGGTGTTTTTTATTTTTTTTGTAATGCCCCAACAATACACTTCCATATCGCAGGGCAAGACAATTCCCATTAACCAAGCCAGGCCCAACCACAACCTCACCTTCACAAAAAAAGAACCAATTGGGTAAGTTTGCATTTTTTTTTTTTTATGTTTCTGTTTGGATTTCTGATTCTTGTTTTTTAATTGGATTTATTATTTTTTTTCCTGTATTAGCGTTTGTGCCATTGTCATCCCTTGGAACTACCCGCTCATGATGCTGGCATGGAAAAGCGCCGCCTGCCTTGCAGCTGGTAACACGCTCGTTCTTAAACCGGCGCAGGTGATCATAACGTCGTATTAATACGATTCAGAATGGAACGTTAAAAAATATGGAACGCGATAGCATCCCTGCTTCTCTCAAAGGGCTTTTTTGAGCTGCATTGTGTCTAATCTGTTCAGGTAACGCCATTGACTGCATTAAAATTCGCTGAGTTGTCAGTCAAAGCTGGCATTCCGAAAGGAGTCATCAACATCTTACCAGGCTCAGGTAACTTACATAATATCATCCGAAGTGATGTTTTTTTTTCTTTCTGTATTTTGAATCTGACCGAATCCAACAAATTGCTCTTCCCTAGGAGGAATGGTGGGACAGCGCTTGGCCGATCACCCCGATATCCGTAAACTGGGTTTCACGGGTTCGACGCCCATCGGCAAACAAATCATGAAAAGGTGCGCCGCCGTCAAAAATGTTGTTGTTGATTCGACGCGGCTGCCACTCGATGCTTGAACCATCGTACGTTCCCCTTTTGAAGTTGCGCGCTGAGCAATCTGAAGAAAGTTTCTCTGGAGCTGGGAGGGAAGTCTCCTCTCATCATCTTTAATGATTGCGACATGGACAAGGCTGTTCGCATGGTAAGAATTATTATTATTATTTTTTTAATTTGTCTTGAGAAATGGTTGTGAAAATATGATTGTTTTATTTTATCATCGCATTCCAGGGTATGAGCTCAGTGTACTTCAACAAAGGGGAAAACTGCATTGCTGCGGGGCGCCTTTTTGTAGAGGAGTCCATTCATGATGAATTCATCAGCCGCGTGGTGAGTTTTATCGATTCGAGAACGACATCATTTACTCTCCGGGATTAAAATCGCCATCGATCCTAATGAAATGAAAAAATGAGCCCGAGAGGGGAATAGAGATGGCGCATTGTTGAAACGCTCTTGTTTTCGTCCCCGGACAAAAGGTGGCGGAAATAAAGAAGATGAAGATTGGAGACCAGGTGCGCCGCCGTCAAAAATGTTGTTGTTGATTCGACGCGGCTGCCACTCGATGCTTGAACCATCGTACGTTCCCCTTTTGAAGTTGCGCGCTGAGCAATCTGAAGAAAGTTTCTCTGGAGCTGGGAGGGAAGTCTCCTCTCATCATCTTTAATGATTGCGACATGGACAAGGCTGTTCGCATGGTAAGAATTATTATTATTATTTTTTTAATTTGTCTTGAGAAATGGTTGTGAAAATATGATTGTTTTATTTTATCATCGCATTCCAGGGTATGAGCTCAGTGTACTTCAACAAAGGGGAAAACTGCATTGCTGCGGGGCGCCTTTTTGTAGAGGAGTCCATTCATGATGAATTCATCAGCCGCGTGGTGAGTTTTATCGATTCGAGAACGACATCATTTACTCTCCGGGATTAAAATCGCCATCGATCCTAATGAAATGAAATGAAAAAATGAGCCCGAGAGGGGAATAGAGATGGCGCATTGTTGAAACGCTCTTGTTTTCGTCCCCGGACAAAAGGTGGCGGAAATAAAGAAGATGAAGATTGGAGACCCGCTGGACCGATCCACAGATCACGGTCCGCAGAATCACAAGGCACACTTGGACAAACTGCTGGAGTACTGCGAGGTCGGACTAAAGGAAGGCGCCACGCTGGTGTGCGGCGGCAAACAAGTGGAGCGGCCGGGTCAGTGTGGAATGCGCTTCCTTTTGAGCGGAGAACTGCAATGTGCACTTTGCGAGTCCTCTCTGTGAAGCGTCTGAAACAAACGCACGTCCGCATTGCACCGACCCAATTTCGACGGGTGCAGTAGAACTGTCCCGTTATAATACAATCACTTGTCCCCCCGCCGCGACAGGTTTCTTCATGGAGCCCACTGTGTTCACTGACGTGGAGGACCACATGTTCATTGCCAAAGAGGAGTCCTTTGGGCCTGTCATGGTCGTGTCCAAATTTAAAGATGGGTGAGTCATCAAAAAAAATTTATTTTTTTTAAACTGTTGCTGTAGATTTTGCGCAAAACAATTGCTGATATATTTCCTCCCAAATGACAGAGATGTGGAAGGTGTGCTCCAGCGAGCCAATGACACCGAGTACGGCTTGGCGTCGGGTGTGTTTACCCGTGACATCAACAAGGCCATGTATGTCAGCGAGCACTTGGAAGCTGGAACGGTGTTCGTCAACACCTACAACAAGACGGATGTCGCGTCACCTTTCGGAGGCTTCAAGCAGTCTGGCTTTGGCAAAGACCTCGGTAAGTTGCCGATGTAGTTGGTATCCGAGTCCGAATTTTGGTGTCGTGATCGTGTGGCTTTCTCATTCGCAGGAGAGGACGCTCTCATGGAATACCTCAAGACCAAAGCGGTGACTGTGGAATATTGACACGCTTTTCACAGAACGTCAACGATGACTTAATAGGAAGGAATTTACAGCCCCGATGAGACAGCCAGCGCAATTCCGAATCACTTCTGCGGAGCTTATCATTCGATCAAAACCGTGTAATTGAATTACATTGGTTTTCTGTTTCATAGTGATGGATTTTAACCAACTTGTATTTGGCTCGTGCCCTTTTTTTTTAAAACTGGCAGAGCTAAATCTTATTTTTGTAATCTCCAACTTGTATTATTTGTCTTAATTTTATTATTTAAAAAAACAAACAAAAAAAAGAGTAAGAGCGATTCCAAACCACGCGGGGGAGGTGGTTAAATATCAAATTTTTCAAATGCTTCTTCACTGTAGACGTCTTTTGTGTATCACTACAGCCGTCTCCAATCGTATTGGAACAGCAAGGTCAAGTCCCTTTGTTTTTGTTGTATCCCGAAGATGTTTGGGTTTCTGTTCAAAAGTTGAGAATCATTTTAGAAAGGCTTCCATACAGGCACTTAACGCTGACTTTGTGGAAGGCGCAACTTTGGATAATTACGTGGCGACTAACGACTGGAATAGAAGAAAACAAATCACCGCCACTTTTTGCTTTGAGTTGCCACTTCTTTGTGGAACCTCTCACGGCACTTTTATTAGCATTTCATCTTATTGTTTTTAATCGGTCAATCTGCTGCAACTCCGCAGACATGCGCACACAAACACGGTGACAGGAGATAACACGGCGATTAGGAACATACACGTGTGCAATATATGGGAAGGTGGTATTTAGGAAGTTGAATTCTGTTGCGTCACTATCCTGTCACCCGAGGTCCGAAAATGAATTAAACTGTTGCCCCACTCAACACCACGTGTTCGTTTCTCTCTCCGGAGTGCACAGAAGTTCAGGATGTTTTGGGTTGTCATGGCAACCACTAACAACAAGTAACGACACCGCACTGGGGGGGCATGTACTAGTTGATTTCAAACCAAATGCTTGGGCCTGAACCTCCCTTCTCCTCTCGTACTTTACGCCGCTGTTCAGGACTCACCGAATTCGCCCTCCACCAGACAGAACTGCAGCTCAAGAATCTTCCTCCCTTATCGTCATTCGACATCCTTCCTCTGCATGCGCGGGAGCAAAATGTCGGCTATTTTCCAGAGAGATTCTTCCTCCGCCCCAATGGCGGTGCCGTTTTCCTCCCTTGCTTCATCTGGGGGGGCTTTCTCCAGGGGGCTCTGCTGCATACCTACAGAGAAGAATGACATATTTAGTGGTATTGTAGTGTAGGAATTATATTTTGGAGTACTATACATTTACTGATTTTGCTCAATATGTCCTGAAGGGGCATCTGTGAACTCATTCTGCTGTGACACTGACGAATTGTATTCAAAATGCTTAAAAGGTTGGATTTCTTCTTCCTCCACAGAGGTCGCCTCCCTCCAGTCTTTGCTTCTCTCTCCACAGGAGATTCTGTGCAGCCAAGGTGCCCCCTGGTGGCGTCCTGCTGTAGTGACACAACAGGTGGAAAGGTGTCTGAGAGCAAGCTGCACTGGGTGGCGACATCGGATTTGTCCGAGGTGGACTCGTGGATGGTTTGAGTTTCTGCATCCCTTTTTTCACTGGGTCTTTTCTTGCACGCACACATCTCCGGGCTATCGGGTGGCGCTCGTCTCTCGGGAAATCCCAATGAGTAACAGCATTCTTCAACCTAATGAATCCATCAATTAATTATTCCTGTTTTTTTTTTTTTTTTTTAATGACACATCAAAAGTTAAATCAAATTATATGGAGAAGCACTGACTAATATGTTCATTATTACTTAACCGAACAGTAGCAGGTTGGATAACTTACATCACTGGAGGCTGAACTCAGGTAAGGCCTCTTGCAAAAGGAACTCGGCGAACACCCCCGAACGTTCATTGGGTATTCCGGACATGCTAGAGAACAAACTGTAGTGCATTTGCATAACGGTAGAAGGGAGGAATGTGTTGAATGGGAGAGTGGACTTACTGAAGTTCAGACTGCAACTGGGGAGCTGTGAAGGAATTAAATGTATCATTTAATACGGCGGTACCTTAAACTCATCCCTTCACTAAAAAAACAGCAAATATGAGCACAAAACGGCCCACGGGAACTGAATGTGCGCGGATGTTGTGAAGTTTGTTGCTACGATTTGGAAAAACCTCGTCGTGTGAGGCACGCGTAAAGTGTATGACACAAGTCATCTGGTGTTATACTTATGGTTCACCACTAGGCGGCAGTTTTTCTTGGCTTACCTGTACTCCAACTGACTGTGGCTCAGGGACAGTTCTGGACAAAACAAATGTGTTAGACGTCAATACGCATGTGGTTGGATCATATTACCTACTGTGGGGTCAAAGCGTGGATTGACGTTTCATCCTTGAGATACGCCTTTGTTGTTTCACTCCCGAAATGATAAGCTAAAGTGTTAAGAAAGTGCGATGAACTCTCTGCTCAAAAAAAAAAAAAAAAAGATATGGGAAAATTATTGCTGGGTTTTTACCATCACTTTCATATTCGTCATTAATAAGTCCCGGAAAGACGTCCTCTTCAAAGTGATGCTCGTTCCCAGTCTGGTTGAGAGTGAAGTCCAGGGTGGGCTCAATTTGAGACAAATGGCTCAGGAAGGTGTCTTCAGATCTTGGGTAGTGAGTGGGTGTCCTGTTAGCACCAAAAATATCAGTCTGTCTTATTTCAGATGGATCTTAAGTGATCAAATTGTTCTCACTCTGGGGTTCCAAAGAAAGCTGCAGAGGGTGTGGCCGGGTTTGAAGACCAGACGATGTCTTCTTGGATCCCTCTGGGCTCAAAGAATGGCTGAAACTGCAGTAGATTAGAAGTAAATGCTATGCTCATCTCCTCTGTGATGTTCTATTGAAGCTACCAGGTTTTGATCCAGACTCGATGTGTCCCAAGGTGTAAGGGACCAGCCGGGAAGTGGCTGGCTCTGCGGTCTCTGCGGAAAGATTCTCCCTGCAGAGACAAATCCAATGAGTCATTTCTAGTTTCTCCATTGTTAAAATACTAGGACACACACCTGAGGAGGAGGACGAGGATGAGAAGGGGCTGAGGGGTTCCGCTATAGGAGGCAGGTAGTCGGCTGCGCTGTTGTCCGAAAAGGAGCACTCCACAACTGGTGACAGCTGAAGTCAGAAATACATTTTACAGTATGTTCGTTCCTCAACAATCGATTAGTTGACATATTGTGTTTTCTATGCAGGATCCTATCGATGTCAACACGTAACTGCCACATTTTTGTTGGAGTTGTTTATCATTTCTGTATTAAAAAAAATATAACAAATGTCATGTCAATTGACTTTGATTCTCTCCTCTATCATCTAGAAATGTTTCAAACTACAAAGCGTATGAGGGAAAAGTGGTTACGATTGCACGGCTGTCTGTTTTTATGTTGTGTTTATGATTTACTTTATGTTAACTGTTTTGTAAAGCGCTTTGTTACAGCTGCAGCTGTTGTGAAAACGCTCTATAAATCAGGATGTATTGTATTGTATTGTAAATGCCACAGGATGGCGGCAAAGCACTCTTTTATATGACGCCATCTATCAAGGCCATCCACTGAATTCAGCATAGTTCTTTGGCCACAAGATGGCGCCAAACAATTTTTTTATTAGATATGCTTGAGCACAAAAACAGTCCAACAACCCAAAACCTTTTTGGGGGCCAAAATGAATCTTGGTTCAGTTTAAAAAAAAAATCTTCTCTGGATTATTTTAGTTACTTTCCCGTACAATTCACAGCAATTTCTGGCCCTCATTAAAATGGCTGTTTTCCTTGGAAAGATGTACCATTTCCTGTCTAATGCCCGCTGTTCCCCTTATCTAAGCCATATGGCTTTGTTACTTACTGGCCGGATCTTGAAAGCTTGTGGGACAATCTTTTTCGTCTTAACACCTTGAACTCTAAAACAAGAAGAGCAGTCAAGGTTTAAAGTGGGACTGGGCAACATTTCATCCTGATTAAATCATTCTTAAGAGCCTCTTAAAAAAAAAAAAAAGTCAGGGGTGACTTGACAATTAACTGCATCTTGATGGCCCTGAAAAAGGGACAACCGATTACTTTGGAGTCCAATAACTAAAATGTATCCCAAGGGACCAAATTGAACTCCTATGAGGTAATTGCCATTGCTGTAATGTGGATGTAGGGCAAAGGTGTCTAACTCAAGATTGCAAGATTGTTTGCGTCTACAGTATGTGCTTACAATGCTATAACCTTCCCCCTGGTACTACGATGTGGTCCGTGATGAAAACAACTTTGTCAGCCCGCTTTTTTCTACCTGCACTGTGGTTGGCTCTCAACCAGACTCAGCTGGGATGGAGAACCGGGGCTCATGGGGAGTACCAAGGGTTTGTTACCACTCCACTTCTTCCCGCCTCCTTTGGAGCCCAAAACTGATACTTGGGGAGGATCTGAAAGACATCACAATATAATAGAACAGGACCAACATTCTATTAATACATGTGTACATTCGGTACAGCAGCACGCTCAGAATAGCTTGTTTTGACCCTAGGTCTTGTTTGTGAGTATTATATATTTGCCTTTCAGCTCTTTCTTTGCAGCTATCTGGTTGACCACAAACAGTGTCACAAGGTCCATACTGGCGAAGGAACTGACTTTAGGGGAGGAAGGTGTGGCAACTTCCAGGTTTTTCAGTTTATTTTGCATTCTCCTCTTCTCAAAGAATTCCTGACAGAGGCGAAACATAAAAAAATAGAGTTAAACTAAGATGAAAATACGTCAAATATGTCAAGGTGCTCAGGTAGACTGTCTTACTCGCTGTTTTTTCGTATCATTTTTCATCATAAGCCGGTTCCTGTATGGAAAAGTACGTTTAGGACGAAACGACACAAGTTGATATAGTTTTGATGAAAAATGAATTAACCTTACCTCGACCCGCCAACCCAGTTCATTTTCGACAAAATATTAAGCAAAATGTCGAAAAATAATTTTTTTTTCACTGCTAGCTTAATAATTTTTACGTTAGACAAAACTGTGGGGTAAAGGACACTCGATCTTACAGAATTCAGAATTGTTCGTAAACACTTAATTGATAGATTCTAACCTTCTAATGATATACTATTAGAACTGTAGTACGCCGTTTGGAATATTGTATAAGTAAATACTAATTTACATCAACGTTATAAAAGAGAGTAGGTCGTGTTTGACTGCAACCAATCGCGAGAGGCGGAAATCATTGCAGGTCACGTCCAAAGACGAGCTTCGTGAATATAAAATCATTAATATTCATCTTTGGTAGCGGCTGCTTTATTTTGAAAGGTAAACCCGGAAGTGTAACGTTTCGTCTACATGCCGGGTTAAGCTTCAGAGCAGGATGTAGCGGTACGTCTTTGGACTGTTTTTTAATTAATTTTTTGCGTCACTGTGGCTGTCCGAGTTCCGTCTACCTTCTCACGTCGACGCTGTGAGTGGATTTAGGGTGATGGGCGTTTGGGGGACCGCCATAAAAGCAGACTAACGTCCTAAAAATGTCCAACATCCTAAATGCTGCGTCCAAAGTGAAATGGGACCGCACGGCTGTAGCCAAGCGAGCTGTGTTTCTCGCGGCTGCTGCCTACGGCGTCAAAACCCTCTACCCGGTCATCTGCAGGCAGCTGTTGAAAAAAAAAGCCGACAGACGGGCTGAAAACGGATCTGCATGTTCGTTTAAATCCCGTGATGACGCCGTGAATCCATCAAAGGCGTCCCCTGGGGTCAACGCCGAATTCTTCAAGCAGATCCTGGAACTTGCAAAAATCCTTTTCCCCAAGCTGCTGTCCAAGGAGCTCGCTTTGCTCTCCTTGCACTCTGTGGCTCTAGTCTCCAGGACCTTCCTGTCCATATATGTGGCCAGCTTGGACGGCAAGATAGTGAAGACCATTGTGGAGAAGCAACCGAGGAGCTTCATCATCCAGCTCATCAAATGGCTCCTCATCGCCATCCCTGCCACGTTTGTCAACAGCGCCATCCGCTTCTTGGAGTGCAAGCTGGCCCTGGCCTTCCGCACCCGCCTGGTGAACTATGCCTACCAGACCTACTTCACGGACCAGACCTACTACAGAGTCAGCAACATGGACGGGAGGCTGGCCAACCCAGACCAGTCCCTCACGGAGGACGTGCTGATGTTCTCTCAGTCGGTGGCCCATCTCTACTCCAACCTCACCAAGCCCATCTTGGACGTGGTGCTCACCTCCTACACGCTGATCCGGACAGCTCGGTCCAGGGATGCCAACGCCAGCGGGCCCACGCTGCTGGCCGGCTTGGTGGTCTTCGTCACCGCCAAGGTCCTCCGGGCATGCTCTCCTAAATTTGGGAAACTGGTGGCCGAGGAGGCACACAGGAAGGGATACCTGCGCTACATGCACTCCAGAATCATCGCCAACGCGGAGGAAATCGCCTTCTACAGGGGACACAAGGTAGGTCCAAGAATACAGTTCTACCTTTAGAGGGACTTGAGGACACAGGTGTCAAACTCCTTTTTGGCGTGCTCAATATCGTTTGGGAAACATGAATGAAAGGTTTTGCTTTGGTGTGGGCGACAGGTGGAGATGCGCCAGCTCCAGAAGTGCTACGGCGCGCTGGCCGAGCAGATGAACCTGATCCTCTCCAAGCGCCTGTGGTACATCATGATCGAGCAGTTCCTCATGAAGTATGTGTGGAGCAGCTGCGGCCTCGTCATGGTGGCCGTGCCCATCATCACCGCCACTGGCTTTGCTGACAGTGGTATTGAAAATATAATATACATATATTTTTCCTCGGTATTGTGATTGTGATTTGATCAGCGATTTTTTTTTTTTTCTTCAAGGTGCTTTTCACATGTACTTGCAGTTAATTAAGCATTCACTAAAAGGTCCTCGCAAACTTTTCCAGAAACAGCTGATGGGCACCCACATCGGAGAGTGAGCGAGAGGACGGAGGCGTTCACCACCGCCCGGAACCTTTTGGCTTCTGGAGCCGACGCCATTGAGAGGATCATGTCCTCCTACAAAGAGGTGACGGACGGCCTTATTTGCGGAGTCGCAGGTTTTTTTTTTCAGTCCAAGTATTAGACTTCACACAGTAAAAAGATGCAGTGACGAGCTGAATTGCAGTTTCAAGCGGCCTCCCGTCACCGTTTCTCATCGGCTCTGATTATATGGTGTGAGTGCAGCTGATCGGCGGCAAGCTCTTGCTTGTATTTCCAAGATGACATTCTTCAGGCATACTCACGCCCACAAAACACGTATCTGTTATGTAAAAAGGTGTGTGTTGAGTTGAGTGGTCAGATGGCATGTCTGGACAATTTGTAGTCTTTTCAGCTGAAGAAAACAACTTCATTCAACACAACACCAAATACACGCCAAAACAGCGCTCCAACACAGCACATCTTATTTATTGTTTATAATAATAATAATCCTAAAATAATCCTTCCTCCAGCTGTTGATCTTTGACCCCGCATCCTTCCCCCGTCTCTCTTTTGCACTCTCCACTCGATTAAGACATGTAAAGTCCCGATATGCGGCGGATAAACATCACGTTTCATAATCGTTACGTCTTTCCCGAGTCATCCGGCCATCACGTGGCCTCCACGAAGTTGCACATCTTGCGCCGGTTTGTTTCAAAGAGAATCAAGCTGAGTCAACAAACAGCTTGTGACGTCTTGCCGCATGCAGCTGACACGGCACTAATAGGGAAAATCATGTCTTAGTGGAATTGCCGTGTCCAACAGAAGTAACCGGTTTAAATTTTTTTATTACAAAAGCATTGTTTTATTTCGGTCTGAAAATCCAACCAAGCCAATTCGAGTAGAATACAGCATAGTTGTAGGACTATTTATTGTCAATAAAGCTCTCCAGGATTTTCTTGGGGCAATACTGAACCGACATCACCAAACCCATAAATTTGAACCTTGTGAGCTGTGGGTCACACTAATATTTACTCGAAAAGAGCCATTCACCCACTCCTCCTCCTCCCTCCGTGTGATACAGGTCACAGAGCTGGCAGGCTACACGGCGCGGGTCCACAACATGTTTGTGGTGTTCGAGGATGTCCAAAGGGGCGTTTACAAGCGCTCGTCGCTCACCGCCACCAACGGAGGCGAGAAGAAAAGCAAGCCAGACATGCACATTGATGGCCCGCTGGAAATTAAGGGTACGGCCTGCATCGCAAATATCTCTTGGGAGTGGGATGATTTCAACCCTGATTTTCTTGACCTTTCTTCTCACGTCAGGTGAAGTAATTGACGTGGACAACGGTATTGTGTGTGAAAACGTCCCAATTATAACACCCAACGGGGACGTCGTCGTGTCCAGCCTCAATGTTAAGGTGAGATTGGAGAGTAAAATAAAACTGTCCAAAAATACTTCTCCACGGCCTTCTACATGAATGTGCAAACCATAAATAAATATTTTGCCTTTCAGGTGGAAGAGGGCATGCATCTATTGATCACGGGCCCCAACGGCTGTGGTAAAAGTTCCCTCTTCCGCATCCTCAGCGGTTTGTGGCCCGTATATGGCGGGCGCCTCCACAAACCCTCCCCTCAGCATATGTTCTACATCCCACAGAGGTACACACACATACACACACACACAACTTCCTCTTCTGACTGTTGTGACCACCCTCGTGGAGAACCTGTCTGCAATTGATACCATTGTAACAGGAGCTCTCAAATAAATATTGAAGTACTTTGCGCGTGAAGGTATTCAGCAGATGAATCGACCATGACGACACCTTTTATTTGAGCTTGTACATTTTTCCCCAGTTATGCCCCCGGTGGGCAATTGAGACGTTTTAAGAAAAAAGAAAAACAAGTAGTGTGCAGTGTGAAAGCAGGCATAAGTAACCCCCCCGCCCTATAATAGTCACCTTTGTGCTGATGAGACTGTCTTCCTTTTCGTGCCTCCAGGCCCTACATGTCGATGGGCTCCCTGCGGGACCAGGTGATCTATCCCGATTTGGCCGAGGGCATGGCCGCCAGAGGCCTCGGCGACAAGGACCTGGAGGCCATCTTGGACATCGTCAACCTCAACCACATCGTCACCAGGGAAGGAGGTGATTAAGGAACTGCTCATTTCCGATTGTTTCGGAACAGTCCACGGCTTAGTGCAGCCGGAGAGTTTGGCGCGAGAATGGGCCGCAGTGTGACCAAAGTCCTGGGCTCAGTTATGCAATATTAAGAACAAAGCGGCACATTTTAAATGGGAAAATTCCTCAACGAAAATGGCTTTTTCGTCATCTTCGTTTTTCGCCTTCAGGCTGGGATGCTGAGCTGGATTGGAAGGATGTGCTGTCCGGAGGCGAGAAGCAAAGGATGGGCATGGCTCGCATGTTTTACCACAAGTAAGGACACCGTCAATACCTTTGACAAAAAATACGCACTGGCTGCAACACGATGTACGCAACTTTTTTATTTGACATTTAAAGACCTTGAACTTAGTTCAGTTTTTCGACATTTGTTCAAATCAACTTCATACGGCGTCGTACAATTTTGCAACACAAGCGTGGCTCTCCTGCGTGTTTCTCGTGTCAGGCCGAAATACGCCCTGTTGGATGAGTGCACCAGCGCCGTGAGCATCGACGTGGAGGGTAAAATTTTCCAGGCTGCTAAAGACGCCGGCATCTCCCTGCTGTCCATCACGCACAGACCCTCGCTGTGGTAAAGGGCCGCCGTCTTTCCTCCTGGGAAAATCCTCCTTTTTCAGTCCGGTCACAAGTCCGTCTCCCGGCAGGAAGTACCACACGCACTTGCTGCAGTTCGACGGCGAGGGCGGCTGGCGCTTCGAGCAGCTGGACACGGCCACTCGCCTCTCGCTCACCGAGGAGAAGCAGCGGCTGGAGAGCCAGCTGGCCGGCATCCCCGAGATGCAGCAGCGCCTCAACGAGCTCTGCAAGATTCTGGGCGACGACTCGGTGCTCAGAACCGTCCATGAGTGACGGACGAGACGAGTTTGGTTTTAACCATCGCCTCCCTCCCGGGCACTCCATTTTAAACTTATTTTAATATGAACAAAAGTCGTTTTTGATCAAAAAGCCAGGCGGGGGTTGTTCAATGGAGACACTTTATAATACTAACGCAAATTGAACATGACGACTGCGTGTACCCCCAAATGATATAAGAATTCAAAAGGCGGGATGAGATAATGTTTTTTTAGCGTTCCCCTCTCTTTGTCATCGGCCCCTCGTTGCCACAAGATAGCACCGGAGCAATATTTTATATTAGACATGGCTGTGGCCGGAGCACAAAAACAATGAATTTTGCATCGAATAACAGAGAACAAGCTTCTTTAAAGGCAAACTTGCAATTGTCGAACCGTGACTATGCGTGGATTCGTTTTATATTGTCAGAAAAAAATACACGATGCAAGAAGGATACACCTTGTGTATTGTTTTAAAATGAGAATTTTTATTTGTGCAGGGATGTCAGATATGTGATTGACACAAAGCTAAGGTAGGAAAGAGGCGCAATTGGCTTACTCCATTTTATTTGTTCTTCTTTTTAAATGATATGACATAATTTAATTGCAGTTTTGCATACCCCCAGCTACGGCTTGCTGACTCCTGGGGTTGTCCGAATGCCACTTTGAGAACCACTGCTTTAAGCGACAGAAAAGAGCACAGCTAAGAGTAAAGGTAACGCTTTCCTCAATTAATATTTTGTTTTAACATAGCACTTTACATGTTTTTTTTTGTTTTTTTTTAAGTACAATCTACCAATTTGATTCAAGGAGTCGTTTTCACACTGTACTCTTTGCGGAATTCTACAGAGCTAATGTTTACCATTTCTTTTTTAATCTACTTCCTGCCTTTTTTTTTTTTGCGGGTGCATTTTTCTTCCTTTCTCCTCTATCTTACACACACACTCACAGAAGAAGAAAAAAAAAAAGCTCAACTCTATTATTGGAGCGATTAATGACGCAGGTCTGAACCCTGAACGGAGGGCTTTTTGGTTTACCGAACAAACACAATGCGCGAAAGAGGCCCTCTCTGCTGCGCGAGCAGCTAAGTCTAGAGGTCCAGTTTGCAAAACATGTCCTGCCGCTACCAATTGTAGAGTCGGACTCTCCTTTCTCTGTTGGAAGCTGGACCCTTAAAAGTCATGAAAAGTGGGGGATAAATTCGTACAGTGGCACTAAAGTAAAACTTTACAGCTCAGCTGTGTATATATAACCAGCTATCACCCTTGAGCACAAAAAGTTTGCTCCCCAACCCCACCCCTATCTCAGCTCAAGCTGACCCCACAGTAAATTTGACTTTTGTTCCAGGAAGCTGGATTTCCCAGAAGGCTTCTGGTGCTGCTACATGCCAGGGACAAAAACTGTCATTTAGAGCAGTGTCACAAAACAGATTAAAAAAACGACTCATAATAATGCCATATTGCTGGTTATGATGGACAATCAGTGGCATCCTGAATTCAGTTTAGTTTTAAAACCTATGAATTTAACAACTGCAAATGCTGCTGTGCTCAGGATATTGCCTGCGAGTTTCATTTCCCACACAATGTGATTTTTATTGCCGTTTTCATGCCACTGTGAGCTTCTAATGCCATGATGCAACTGTATTGAGGGTGTCAATTTTTTTTGTTGGTAATCAGCGGCTCAATTATTTCAAAAAGCATCACACAAGGTCTCGGGTTGCCATGGCAACAAGCTTCACATGTTCTTGTCAGAGTCTGCCGAAATGACAAGGACGCTGACTGAATAAATTCCGGAGAAAGAGTGTTTCAATGCTGCTAATCCAATTAGTAGTTCATCTAATTAGTAGTTAGTGCTGGAAAATTCACACTGCTACTAATTATAGGGAGATTACGATTTTTTTTTTTTTTTTTTTTGCATGGAACCTCATTGTTCTTTATCCTTGCAGAAAACAAGTCAGGGCATAACAATCCAGATAGTGTCGTCCCATTGAAGATTGAATGTGTTCTTTTCAAATTCCTAATTAATCCAGATTTTGGTGTGTGTTTACCGTGCATGTAGTGATAATTTAATGGATTCATGAATCAGGATCGTCCATCCAGTTTACCTCCTGATCCCACTCTCGTGCATGTGATGGAGTTTACGTATTTTCACCTTAAACTAGAGCAAAGATGTATTTTCTTGTAAATAAAACAATGTGGTGAAAATAACTCATGTCGTCCACTATATTACAGGTTTAGCTTGGCGGTAGCAGAGGTGAATGTGTTTTTATTCCATGATTTGTTCCGATCAGGCTTTGGTGTCCCCTGACAGGTGTGTGTTGTACGAGTACAGTACTCTAATGTGTCCACATAGTTGTAGCATGCCATTACAAAATAAGGTTCATTCTCGGGAATACTTTACTGCTTATTTTAAATTTCGGAAATCACATTCCTCGCTTTATTATTATTATTAGTAGTAGTAGTTATAAAAAAAAGTTGTGCAATAATTTAGTCAAAAATACATCCGTGGTCTATAGGTTGATTGTATGGCCTTATCACAGTTGAATGTTTAGAACAGTACCGTACTTGAAATGACAACATAGTCCAAAATTGTATGTTGTTATTTTTATTTTTATTTCTGATGGCCACGCTACCTCCAAAAAAAGTTTTTAAAAATTAATACAGTATGTCAATATGAAATAAGTAATTATTACGAGATAACAAGAGATGACTTGTACTGTATGTATGCAAAACCGTGGACAACATCGCCATCTGTAGGCGAGAAAGCGCAATTGCAGCCTTTTCAGGTGGAACACACAGCTGGGGAGCGCCATTGTGAAACCAGCTTCAGCGTCCTACAGGGGGGAGTGGTTTGCCTTCGTCACTATCTCGCTCTATCTCCCCCCCCCCCCCCCCCCCCCAGCCAACTCGCACGCGGAGTAGATCTCTTTCTTCCACGCTGATTTCACAGGACCCGGCGATCACGCACACCGAGCTGAAGGCTCACAATGGAAGGCCATCCCCTCCTTCATGATCCGTGAACCCTCCCCAAGTGGACTACTTGTTTGTCGCACAGTGTGTACGAATGGTGGCTCCACGGAGACGCGAGAGGGGAGGAGGAGGAGGAGGAGGTGGAGGACGGCGCTCCCTCGTCTTCTAAGAGGATAAAGGAGGAAAGGGGGCTATTTTTAACCGGACTCTTGTGGACTCTTACCCGGGGCACAATGAGCGGCGGGCCGGATGAGAGCTCGGTGCGTGTGGCGCTAAGGTAAGGATGCTTCTTGCTCCCACCTGCAAAACACCAAACCCAACCATGCACTCATTGACAACGATCCATTCACAATGAATCCTCCAATGACTGCACTGCATGCAATATTTGCAGTAGTTGCTTTGGTTTATGCCTACTGAGGATTTCCGCATGCAGATGTGCCTTAAGGCGATAAGGAGTGTCTGGAGGAGAGGGAAAAAAATCACCTGGCAGTCATACAAGCAAGCCCAGTGGTGATAGACACTAACACTAACAATAGTGTCAATGAATGCATGCATGGCAGCCATGTTGATGAGTCATGTGACCCTGGTTTATTGACCCTCCATGCAAGGTGTAGCCAAACTGTGACCAGGTCATGATTTGTTTTCTTTGCATAACCCCCCCCCCATGTTATTGTTATTTCGATTGTATTTTATTTTAAATCAAAGTTTAGTTTCACTTTCACTCTTCATTTGAGTTGTAATTTCATATTTTTTGTTTATTTTAGTGTCATTATTTTCTTTAATACTTGAAAGTACTCCAATTTCAGGTTTCCGTCTTTTTTTTTTGCTCTTGTCTTCTTTCTTTTTGTTCTGCTAACCTGTGTGACAACTTCCACGCCTCAAATAGCATAATTCACATACTCCAGTATTTGCATGGTGTGTTTTGCAGCAGATAATTTAATGGTTTCATCGAATCCACACAAAGTGATTATAAAAACAAAAGCCTACCCCCTCTTCAAAAGGTATTTTTGTGGTATGACGAAAATAATTCATGAACGTGACATATTATCTAAAGAACTTAAAAAAAACTGAACTAAACATTAAGTGCGTTTAGATGTATGGCGGGCCTGACAACACGTGAAAGCCTCTCCCCAGCTTAAAAGTTGAGTTAGGTGTGTGTGTGTGTGTGTGTGTGTGTGTGTGTTGCCAGTCAGCACCTGCTTCAACGTGCATGGCCTAATCCTTCACCTACCCCCCACCCCCTTAAAAAAAAAAAAAAAAAAAAAAATACATAATGTATCATAATGGTGCAACTCGAGGAATTGTGTCGTGGTTGTTACATAACAGCCTTGCCGTATGTTTGCTCACCTCCATATGAAAAAAGGGGCAGCACAAGAAGAAAGTGAACAAGCTGTCCAGAGTCCAATTCAAAGTAGCACCTTGCCGCCCTTTTAATAATTGATCCCGTGGCAGGCGGCGTCAAATGTCCTCTGTTGGGAAAATTTGAAACGCGTCGCACTTCCACAGGAGTAAGGACGCTCGGGAAGCGCCATAGACGGGCTAACAGATAGCATTGCTATGTAAACGAAATTATTTTGAGCATCTGTGTCCATCAAATGTAAGGCCCTCTGCCCCAACCATCCCCACAAGTGTAAGTGTGTGTCTGTGTGTGTGTGTGTGTGTGTGTGTGTGTGTGTGTGTGTGTGTGTGTGTGTGTGTGTGTGTGTGTGTGTGTGTGTGTGTTTGCCTGCATTCTCCCTAATGAATATTCACCGAGTGAACTGAAGCGAAGCAGGCTGCTTGCCCTCTGCCAGCTGCCGTCATGGAATCATGCAGATCACAACAATCATCATCATTTAATTTTTTTAGGGGCGGGGCACCCCACTGACCTTTTGATAAAAACACTGTCAAGGACACGGATAACAATGACAAAGCTGAGTCGGCTTCCTTCCTTTCATCACTCTATTGGCAATATTTCATGAAAGCAATGTGGGTAGTTGCACCATTTGTAGACTGGCATTGACAGTGAACCCCCCCCCCCACCCCCCAATTTTTATTTTATTTTGCGATATTGTGAAATATGGAGAACACGGTTGGCACACGGGACTATTTTCAGCACTGTCTGCGGGGCTCAGTTGCAGTTTTTGTCTATGACACACACCAATGAATCCTCCCCCCTTCAAAAAAATGCCTTTAGGTCCACCACAGCGTTGCCGTTATGTAAGCAGGTGGACTTGTTTGGCTCGGTGAGGAAGGATGAAGAGAGGAAGAGAGAGGAACACAAGAAACATTCTCCTGTCCAACATTTGGTGGTGACATCAAGAGTCTTGATAGTCACTATTTATACACAACCGATGTCAAACAAACGTCTGCGATTAAAAAAGCACGACATTTCCACCCGGTGATTTGGAAGAAGAACCTGATCAACTTTGAAATATCATCTGATCAGTGTAACTCATGACGAACTCGGGGTGACGTCACCTCTGCCGCAAAGAAAATTGATTGGCGCTAATTTCCCGAAGGCTGATGTCATTGTTCTGCCTCTTGTTTACCAGCAGCCCCTCTAAAATGAATGAAGGGTTTTTGCTGGCTTTTTTTTTTTTTTTTTTTTTTTGGTCTGCCAGGCATTCGTCTTTGTGAGCGCGGGAGAGGGAGTCTCTTGTTTTTGAGGCCGTCACTGAAATCGCAGTAATGAGCCCGAGAGCTTGAAACTCACTTGGATTGTTGCACGGGGGGAGCCACAGTGGGACGTAAAAGTATCCTTATAATCCTCTCTTCATGAGGGTTTCAGCATCCCCTCCCATATTTTCGGTTGAATGAAACTGTCAGATGAACGCGTTGGGCAGCTTTTACACTTTTTTTTTTCCCTTGTCCAGAGTACATTGAACATCAAATACGATTTGTCTCGGAGTGCATGCGAGGGCCAGAGTGAGCGTTAAGGCTGCAGCAGTGTTGGATTTCCAAGCAAAAAGATTGGACAAGGAGCCTGTGTGTTTCCTAGATGGCGGATTAGTGCTTGAAGGGCAGCCCTCGTTCAGGCCGGAGAAGGAAAAAAAAAGTGTTTTTGACGGAACCGTAATAGAAAAAAAAGTCGGTTTGCCAGTTATCTAGAAATTGTCGTAGATTAGCCACCGGTCGTTTGACAGAGCTAATAGGACATATGGTATATGATTACATAATTAAAATTTAAATATAAATGAAATTTATATTGTTGAACTAGCTTTATGCTAACGAATAAATGGAAGCGCCATAGACGCGTTAACGAATAGCGTCGGTGTCTTGGTGTTACATCCCCTCAAGCCACCGATACTGGAACATAAACAAAAGTTAATATAGACACACACACACACACACACACACACACACACACACACACACACACACACACACACACACACACACACACATACGCACAGGCATATATTCTTTATCCTTTGCAAAGAACAGCTAAAATAACTGCAGCTTACTCATGGGAAAAAATGGTTAGACCACCTTGTTTCTCGTTCATTTGAAATGGTTGCCTGCTGCTTGTGTCTTTTCAAGGCAAAAAAGAAAAAAAAAAAAAACTTGTGTGTGTCCATGCACACAAACACACATTATGTCCGCAACAAAGCTTTTTCCTGGAACACTGTCCAAATATTACTCATCAGCAATTTTCTCGTGAGGTGGCTTCAGCGGTGAGAGGCAGAGACTTTTCCTCCACAGGAAATGATGCCATGACACGGCGTTTATTCAAGAAGGAGCCAACAGAGAGATTCTTAATAAAATCCAGGGCGGGTTCTGTTGACTCTTTTGAACAGCGAGTGTACTGTGAGGTGTGCACTGCCTCCAATACTGAAGTACAGGACACACTTTTATAGTCTGTTCTCATTTCTGTGGCCTTTAGCTCAATCTGCACCTTTTTAAAGTTTCAGTGAAAGAATTATGGATGCGACTCATTGGTTCTACTCTTCGAATGCGCATATTAATCACTTCAGAATTACCGTCATAGGAATGACATGAATTAATATACTGCAATTATATTGGAGGTGATTTCCCCCCACCCCCTTGTCATTTGGCCGTATTCCCTTATTTGGCATCGCTCTTTCTGAATATTTTCGTTCTGTGCTCCTATAAATACAGTGATTGTAAAAAAAAGCAGGTCGCAATTTCATCAGATTTGTCTTCTCCCGACAGGATCCGTCCTCAGCTGGCCCGAGAGAAGATCGAAGGCTGCCACATATGTACGTACGTGATGCCCGCCGAGCCGCAGGTGGTCCTGGGCAAGGACAAGGCCTTCACGTACGACTTTGTCTTCGACATGGACACCCAGCAGGACGCCATCTACGGCCACTGCACCGAGAGTCTCATCGAGGGCTGCTTCCAGGGCTACAACGCGACCGTATTCGCGTACGGCCAGGTGGGGGTTCATCTGACTCGTACACTATGCATTGTGATCAATTGTAAGTGATTTAGGCCTGTTTTGTTTGCCGTACACACTCTTGAACCCCCACCACCACCTCCAAAAATGTCTCAGTGCTTCTTTTTCTTAATCTCTCCCGCGGTTGCCCCTCCGCTTGCCTTTTATTGTTGCCGCGCTTGCTGAATTCCCGTCCAATAGCCTTTCACACTCAAAACGAGTGATCCGTTCACACAGGTGCGGTCTGGACAATGACACACACACACATACACACTCCTGTCAGTGTCTCTTTCAGACGAACCAGCAGGGAGTAACCCCCTTGTTGCATTCCATCGAAATCACCATGATGACCACCCCATCCCCGCTGCTCCGCTCTCCTCCTTCCCAGCAACTAACTGTCTGTTTTTATTTATTTAAGGAAGACATATGCTTTTTTTTTTACACCCCCTCAGTGTATCACAGCTCCCTTAATAACTTGTCGGTGGCATGCTTTTGTCAACACACATCAACGATCAAGATTTTCTACGCCAGTGTGAAAACGGAGGCCATTATCATGACAACCAGAGGTGAAGTCAGGCTAGGCAAGCGGCTTTTACTTCGGGGAGGAGAGCTCGTTCACTCGTGGAGGCAGCAGTTTACAGTGTTTCCTTGACTTGCGAGAAATATGTGCTTTGTCCTCTCCAAAGACGGGCTCGGGGAAGACTTACACCATGGGAACCGGCTTCGACGTCAACATCGGCGAGGACGAGCTGGGTATCATTCCCAGGGCCGTCAACCACCTGTTCCGGGGCATCGAGGAGCGGCGGCAGGCTGCCACCGAGCAGGGAAAGCCTGTCCCTGAGTTCAAGATCAACGCTCAGTTCCTGGAGGTACAAAAACAGACAAGACCCCCCCCACCCCCACCCTCCCACCACCACCGAAAATACAAAACCAGTTTGTGCATCATGACTTCATGCTTTCATTGTGCGTCTCTTTCTGGTGTGTGCACTTTGGCCACCAGGAGGTAGTATCATCCATGTAAGCATTGTATACACACAAAGAAGAACCAGTTGTGTTTCACAGAGGATAAAGAATATATGCGTGCAAGTTAGATGAAGCTATTCAGAGTCAACTCAGAGTCGTCAAAAGGTGCTTTGCTGCACTACGAAACTGTCGTTAACCCGGCGTCCGTGATCAACTGGCTTGACCTGCGAGCACGAAAAAGCGGCTTGAACGGCTGCCAGAGTGAATTTGAAAGATGAGAGATGACAGAAAGCACTTGGGACAGACGTTTGAATTGACGTTGCAGCTGTACAACGAGGAGGTGGTGGACCTGTTTGACACCGCGCGGGACGTGGAGGCCAGGAGGCAGAAGTCCAGCGTGCGCATCCACGAGGACGCCAGCGGAGGCATCTACACGGTCGGCGTCACCACACGCAGTGTCAACTCCGCGGCCGAGGTGAGCTAGACGCACTTCAGGGCAGATGAAGAACGTATTTAATCTTAAGTTTTCGTTTTGTGCTAGATGATCCAGTGTCTGAAACTGGGCGCTTTGTCCAGGACCACGGCCAGCACTCAGATGAATGTGCAGAGTTCGCGCTCTCACGCCATCTTCACGATCCACCTGTGCCAAGTTCGGATGTGCTCACCTGACAACGTAAGCGCGCCACTTCGCGTTGCGGCTTCATGAGCCCATGAACTCTTTTTTTTTTTTACTTTTCCTCCTCAATCCTCCAGGATAACGCGACAGACAACCGTCTGGCGGGCAACTCGGACATCAACGAGTTTGAGACGCTGTCGGCTAAGTTCCACTTTGTGGACCTGGCTGGTTCCGAGAGGCTCAAAAGAACCGGAGCCACGGGAGACCGGGCCAAAGAAGGCATCTCCATCAACTGTGGACTGGTAAGTTTGATTTTTAACCCTCTTAGGAGTTATCGGGAGAATTTCCAAATGTGTAAAAATGAGCAGTTATATACGGAAGCGTGGCGTAAACATGAAAAAAATTGCTACGTTTTTTTTTTTTTTGTTAACATTTAGCCTACAAGTACTAGTACGTACAAATGTTTGGATGTATTTCCCAGCCCCGAATAATTTTTTTATTTACTTTTAAATTTGAGTAGTCCCCAAGTGGAGCAAAATGTTCCTTGTATATGATGATACATTTATTCCTACAAAATGACTATTTTTCCATGCCTCAGCTTGCCTTGGGCAACGTGATCAGCGCTCTTGGCGACAGAAGTAAGCGCTCCACACACGTGCCTTACCGAGACTCCAAACTCACCCGTCTGCTCCAGGATTCGCTCGGCGGGAACAGGTTTGTTAGCAACAGCGTCCTTTTCCGTCACATCCCGCCCGCGTAAACGTCGCTGTGCCTCCCCCCCAGTCAAACGGTGATGATCGCGTGCATCAGCCCGTCAGACCGCGACTTCATGGAGACCCTGAACACTCTGAAGTACGCCAACCGAGCGCGGAATATCAAAAACAAGGTCATGGTGAACCAGGATCGAGCCAGTCAGCAGATCAGCGCGTTGAGGACGGAGATGGCGCGCCTGCAGATGGAGCTGATGGAGTACAAAACGGTGAGGCGCAAAGAGGGGTGAGCACTTTTACTTCTTGTGTTTGATAAGAAATGCTCGTAGAACGTGAGCGGATGTATTTGTCATTCAGGGTAAGCGCATGGTGGGCGAGGATGGCACGGAGGGCCTCAACGACTTGGTCCACGAGAACGCCATGCTGCAGACGGATAACAACAATCTGAGGGTGAGGGTGAAGGCCATGCAGGAGACCATCGACGCTCAGCGAGCCAGACTCACTCAAATCCTCAGCGATGGAGCCAACCAGGCGCTGGCCAAAGCAGGTGAGACGTCGCAAAATTAAGAGTGTGTTCGCCCATCCCTGGTGCAAGTTAGTTATGCATCATGTTTAATGAAACGGCGAAAATTGAGGAAAAGCACAGTCATCCTTGACAGTGAAATCACCAAAATGGACGGTAAAAAAAACTTGGAGTTAGCCCACCATATTTCTCAATATCACCGATATGATTTGCTGGCATCTGAGCGAGGCGTCTGCTTTCAGGCGAAGGCAACGAGGAGATCGGCAACATGATCCACAACTACATCAAGGAAATTGAGACACTCAGGTACATCCGAATTAAAAATCAACACCCCACAACCAGCCGCTTCAAAAGAACGGCGAGCGAAGAAAAAAAAAACGCGTCTCCTCGCCGATAGAGCCAAACTTCTGGAGAGCGAGGCCCTCAACGAGAACCTCCGGAAGAGCCTGTCGCGCGCCTCCACTCGCTCGTCGCTCTACGCCGGCCCCGCCTCCTTCTCTCCGGCCATCTTTGCGCCTGAGAAAGAGGCCAACGACATCATCGAGATGGCCAAGAAAGACCTGGAGAAGCTCAAGAGGAAGGAGAAAAAGAAGAAAAAGAGGTATGCGTTGAGTTGAGTGTGTTACCATAGCAACAGGTCACCCGGTGAGGGAAATGCTCCCCTGAGCATCTTTTTATCAGTTTTTTACGTTATTCTCGGCCATCTTCACATCTTTCTTGCCATGTCACTGGTTCTTACTCTTTCTTTCTCTTCCTCTCTGCTCTGTTGCAAACTTCCCTCACTTAAACCTGTCTCCCCCCCACCACCATCCCCATACCCCCGCCCCACCCCTCCAAAGACTTAGGCAGTGCCACCAGGACGGTCTCCAACCTGACGCCAGGTTCGCTCCATCCCATCTGGGCAATGGGGGACAAATCCCTGAATGCTTTTAGTGTGTGGCAACCCCCGTGTAATGAGCGATTGTCACGCAAAAAAATCGACAAAAGTGATGACGTGTTGCTGATCTGCTCCTGATTGACGTTTGTGGTAGCGTGTGCACGTATCCGTTTCACCTCCTTTTGTGTGTCAAACAACGAAAGGCCGTTTTAACTCTCAATGATGCGGCGTTCTTTTCCAGTGTTGTGAAGGAGGAAATGGCGGACAATGACCAGGAACGAGGTGGCAACGAAGCAGAGCTGGGCAGCGACCACGAGGAAGCTGACGACGACGGCGACGGAGAGGAAGAAGACTCGGACACGGCAGGAGATGAGACGTCCGAGGAGTCGGAGGCGGAGGAGCTGGATGAAAAAGGTGAAGAGAAAGATGCACTAAAATGAGACGAAGCGGGATCTGATGAGCCGGGTTTTTGGCCCCGCAGACGACGTCCAAGCCGACCTGGCCAATATCACGTGCGAGATCGCCATCAAGCAGAAGCTGATCGACGAGCTGGAGAACAGCCAGCGGCGCCTCCACACGCTCAAGCAGCAGTACGAACACAAGCTGGTCATGCTGCAGAATAAAATTCGAGACACGCAGCAGGAGAGGGACAAAGTGCTGCACAACATGGGTGAGCGAAAACAGCCCCCAAAAAATCCCAACAAAAAATGTCATATTATGGAGTTTTTATTTTTATTTCTTTTATTATTAAAATTAATTTTATACTTATTTTAGTTTATTTTTATCGTGAATATTTACCACAGAATTTGAGATTGAATTGTCTTTATTTTATTTGTTTATTTATTTTAGATTTTCTGGTTGATTTTGAACAGAAGTCACAGAAAATCAATTTTTAATTTCATTTCTTTGACTCGCTCCGCCCAGGCTCGGTGGAGTCATGCACAGAAGAAAAGGCCAAGAGGATCAAGGCCGAGTACGAGAGGAAGCTGAGCTCCATGAACAAGGAGCTGCAAAAACTCCAGTCGGCCCAGAAGGAGCACGCGCGGCTGCTCAAGAACCAGTCGCAGTACGAGAAGCAGCTCAAGAAATTGCAGCTCGACGTCACCGAGATGAAGAAGACCAAGGTTTTAAAAAAAAAAAAAAATGTTGGAGCAGTTATAAAGAGAAGGCAACGGCTGGATGTGGGTTGAAATTTGCGATTGTCCACCAGGTGGCGCTGATGCGTCAAATGAAAGAGCAACAAGAGCGCAACAGAGCCACAGAGTGCAAGAGGAACAGGGAAATTGCGTCTTTGAAGAAAGACCAGCGCAGAGCTGAGGTACAGGATTGATCTTAGGATGCAATCAGCCTTTTTTTTTTCCACCCATCACCAGCAATTTTTTGTATTCACGCACAGTTGTCAAGTGTTTTAATGTATTTTATATTTCACTCGCCGATACATTAAATTGGAGGCCCTTTTAGCTTGATTGGGTGTTAATTTGTCCTGGCAGCATCAAGTGAAGCAGCTTGAGGCACAGAAGAGACAGCAGGAGTTAATCCTACGTCGGAAGAACGAAGAGGTGAGAACACACTTCCCCGAGGGTTTTTTTGGGGGCGGGGGGGATTGTATTTGTCACAGAGTTTCTATATTTCATTTGCCAGGTCGTCATTGTTAATGAGAAACGTTTTATTCCAATTTTAATTTTATTGAATGTATTTTATTTTCCTTCTGTTTTTTTTTTTTTTTTTTTTTGCATTGCATTATTTGATTTAGGTTTTCGTTGTTTTATTGCATGTCGTTTAGTTACCATTGTGTTTATTTTTCTGCATTTTATTAATGTTGTTTATTTTTTTCTAATTTACCTAATTAGTTTATATTTTGTGATTTTATGTATTTCAGTTGTAATGCTGTTCTTTTTTTTTTACATTGTTTTTATGCTGTTTTCAAATTTTTTTTCCTGTGGTCATGGTTTATTTCTTTATATTCATCATTTTATTTTATTTATTCTATTGCTTTCAAATGTGCTTTCTGAATTGCAGGTGACTGCTCTGAGGCGTCAGGTGAGGCCAGTGTCTGGCAAGGCGAGCAGGAAAGTCACCTTACCCGAATCCCTCTCAGAGCCGCCCCACCGGAGCTCTCCGGGAAGGCCGTACTCGTCAGCGTCATCGACGTCCAACGGCGCCAGGTGCGGCATCTCAACTCCGTTTGTTTTTGCGTCTCGCACGCGGCAAAACTCTCGAAAGAAACGATCTTTGTCTTCAGGAGTTCGCCGGCGCGCAGGGGAAGCGGCTACCTCAGCCGGACCGCCAGGGCCAAATGGCAGTCGTTGGAGCGACGCGTCAGTGACATCATCATGCAGCGGATGACCATCTCCAACATGGAAACAGATATGAATCGACTCATGAAGGTCCGATTTTTCAGGAAACGTGTAAATAAATAGCCAACTGACTGACCGAAATGAAGGCACCTCTGTATACGGCTCCAGCAAAGGGAGGAGCTGACCAAGCGGAGGGAACGAGTGTCCAGGAAAAAAACCAAGACGATGGCGGAGGCGGCCCCGGACTCTGAGCGCTCGCTGACCCCCTTGAACGAGGAACTGGAGTCTCTGGGCGCCAACATCGATTACATCAATGACAGTATCGCGGACTGCCAGGCCAACATCATGCAGATGGAGGAGGCCAAGGTGAACAAAAAACAAAAGATGGCGACGGTTTCACCGTTTGTAAGTCAACATTTTCACTCACGTTCCTGCTGGATGGTTTTTGGGGTCTCAGGAAGAAGGAGACACGGTGGACGTGACGGCGGTGGTCAGCTCATGTAGTCTATCGGAGGCTCGCTTCCTTTTGGATCATTTCGTGACAATGGCCATCAATAAGGTGACAGCGACTTCCGACGTCAATGGACTCGGAGGCAAAACGCGCTTCCCGGTGTGACCGTCTGCGTCTTGTGAACCCGCAGGGCCTGCAAGCGGCTCAGAAGGACTCCCAGCTGAAGGTGATGGAGGGTCGGCTGAAGCAGACGGAGATCAACAGCGCCACGCAGAACCAACTGCTCTTCCACATGCTCAAGGAGAAAGCCGAGATCAACCCCGAGCTGGATGCCCTGCTGGGGAGCGCCCTCCAAGGTTAGGCGCCTTTGGCCTCGTCTTTTTAAATAACATTCTATCGATTGTGTTTTATTTCGCAGCTGCTTATAGAATGAAATGGAAGCCTTCCTCAAAATCGGGGTTTGAATTTGATTTCTTTCTGTCTTCTCTGGTGTTTTTTTTTATCTTTTTGTGGGAACTCAAGAGTTAGGTTACCTGTCACCGGGTGAGTAATAAGATCTATGTTTTGAGAGCTGCACACTTGAAGATTTCAAATATGGCGGCGAGAAATCTTCAAGTCTGATTGATCCCGACCCAGTGGCCTTAATAGTTGTTTGTTTCCCGTCGTGTCTCCACCAGCTCGTTACATGATCTCATTATGTTTCTCCGTGTTTCCTGTCACGCGGGGCCCTTTATCTCCCCTTTTCACCCTACCGTGCTTTGGACCTGCTGTAGCATTTATTCTACTCTCAGAAACCCACCGAATAAACCTCCTAATAACGCGTCTCTCCCGTTTGTAGAGAACGGGGACGAAAGCAGCAGCGATGAGTCGAACCCCAGCCCGGCTGCAGAGGGCAGGTAATGTGACGGCGGCAGAAACTCAAGTCGGACTGCGTTGGAATTTGCATACGGATTCGGTGGCAAAACATTTTCAGTTTGTCTTCCCTGATCTGGTTCCAGCCCGCTGCCGTCAGACGTGATGAAGTTATGCGGCGACTCCCGTCCGAGAAACAAGGTACCAGACTGCGCGATGATGCGTGATGTTATTCGTATTTCGTAATTGCCGTTGATCCTTCAGGCTCGTAGGAGGACCGCCACCCAGATGGAGCTTCTCTACGCCACCACAGGAGATCCGCCTTTCGACTCTCCCCCCGGAGACTTCTCGGGTCCCTTGCTTCCCCTCGCCGAGCACCAGGGCGGGTCGGCGGATCCAGGCCGCGAATCCCCGTCTTCTCTCTCGGCTCCCAAGGCCGGCGTGTGAGCATTAATAAGAAACGCCTCTCAAAAACACCCGTTCGGCTACCGCTAACACTTTTGATTTCCGCCAGCTTCCGCTCGAGGTCACCGACGAGCGGTGTTGAGAGGAAGCAGCTCGAGCGCTCTCCTCTCACCCGCAGGAAAATGCAAGAAAAGGCAACGGCCGCAGCTGGGGATGCCAAAACGCGAGCAAATGACTCCAAAACACCGTAAGAAGTCTTTATCGTCAAGCCATAGCCACGTCTAATGTCAAAGTTGGGCTTTGTGTGGCGTATATCGATCATCACAAACCTGTGTCTGCTTTCATTTTCCATTGTATTTTGGCATTGTTTTGATTTTTCAGATCGGATGAATCACCTGTATTTGATGGCCAAAGGTACGCTTCTTTCTTCACCTTTATTTGGTATCATTCTTTTTTTTTTTCCACAATCATCGTGAAAATTGAAACACTAAAAAGCTGCATTTCCAGAGGCGTAATCAACCCCGTGGCACCCCCCAAGACCAGCCGGGCAGCCAGACTTCAATGTGTCCATGTCGCCGAGGGACATACCAAGCCCGTTCTCACCGTGGACGTCACAGAAGATCTGCTCTTTACAGGATCGAAAGGTAAATATTGACAAATTCTGAAAGGGTGCACCGCCTTTCCTGATTGCACGTTTTGTTTTTTTTTTCCTTCAGATCGAACGTGTAAGGTGTGGAATTTGGTGACCGGTCAAGAGATCATGTCTTTAGCGGATCATCCTAGCAGCGTCGTCTCAGTCAGGTAAAAAATCACCGTTGTTCAATCTGTTCATTTACGGATGATTTATTTATTTTTTTAACCATTATTTTGATCATCCTAGCAGCGTCGTCTCAGTCAGGTAAAAAAATCACCGTCGTTCAATCTGTTCATTTACGGATGATTTATTTTTTTTTTTTTTACCATTATTTTAAAGCCATATCAGCCCTCGTCTGTATTGACGTCCGTCTGTTATGTTGCAGATACACTTCCAGCCTCGTCTTTACGGTTTCCACTGCCTACATCAAAGTGTGGGACATACGGGATTGTGCAAAATGTATCCGCACGCTTATGTAAGTACACAATGGGCTCCGTCCGTCAGTGTTGACGAAGTATGTCTCTCATCGAAATATTCATGGTTGCTTCAGGGCTTCAGGTCAAGTTGGTACAGGCGACACCTGTTCTTCAGCCCGAAGTTTCTCCATCCCTCCAGGAGAGAGTCAGATCAACCAGATCGCCATCAATCCCGCCGGTTCCTTCCTGTACGCCGCCGCCGGGAACGCCGTACGCATGTGGGATCTCCGCAAGTAAGTCTAATATGGAGCCGCAGACGAAGGTGTTGAAAATAAATGCACTCGTGCTAATAGTTGACTTTTATGTGGGCGTTAGGTTTGCCTCCACAGGGAAGCTGACTGGCCACGTGGGAGCCATCACGTGTCTGACGATGGATAAGTTGGGGAACGGACAAGACCTGGTGCTCACCGGCTCCAGGGACCATCACATCAAAGTAGGAGACGCGCTCAAAAAAACAGTCGTAGAGTCATGGATATCACGTTTTTTTTTTTGTTGTTGTTTCTCAGATGTTTGAGGTGACAGAAGGCGCTCAGGGGAGCGTCGGCTCCTGCCACACGTTTGACCCCGCTCATCAGGATAGCGTGGAGTCTCTTGCCTTGCACGGGGACTTTGTCTACAGCGGCTCCAAAGACTACTCCGTCAAAAAGTGGGACTTGGCCAGTAAGCGGCTGCTGCAGGTTAGCCTGCTTATGATGAGTATACAATACATAAGGAAGCTAGAGCTCGTGGGCAACTTTTGAGATATAACAGGAGCGCGTGTCTTTCCTTGAGCAGTCAGTCGCTTTCCAGGCGGGTTGGGTTAGCGCTTTGGGCGCGGTGCCCTGCTCGTCGGCGCTGCTCGGCGGGTGTCGAGGAGGGCTTCTCCGCCTGTGGCACTCTGACTCACTAGCGCCTCTCGGTGACATCCAAGGCCACGACAGCCCCATTAATGGCCTGGCGACCAACAGCAGTCATCTGTTCACCGCCTCGGAGTAAGTCGCACGTTGCCACTTGTCGTTGACTTGTCGTTTCACGGTTCTTTGTGTTTTCACCATATTTTGCCGGTGAAAATGATTCTTATTCTGATTTGTTGTTGATATATTCCGTCACTTATGGCTATTTAATTGTGTTGCACGCAGTGACCGCACAGTGAAGATTTGGGAAGCCAAAGGATCTCTTGAGGATGGAGTCCATTGACAGTGATTTGGGACCGTAAACTGATTTTTGCTTCATTTGAGTCCTCCACGTTGCGACGCTATGCTCGCTTGCACAATTTCTTGTGTGTGTTTTTTTTTTTTTTTTTTTGTGTACAAGACATTTCCAAATGCTGGAGACTTGACTGTTCCCTTCACCAGCAACACTTTGGACTTTCCGTGTGCTTCTTTCTAGTCTTGACTGTGTGAAACCAAGGACCAAAATACTACTGAAGCTGCATTGTGCTCTTATTCTCCTGCTGCACTATTTGGTAATGTAAATGGGTTATTTTCTATCTTTCCTATACGTTGTTGGGCCGGAAACTTTATTAGCTACAGCGGTCTAATCGAATGAGAGGTGTCCACGGCTGTATCCACAGAGTACCTGTAGCTTTAACAGTTAACGCAGCATTAACGAAAAACAAAAATATCTGTTATGTCCTCATGTGTTGTGCACTGTAACTTAATATGACAACCGCATGTTTTTTTTTCCTCGTTCAAGTTTCCGTTTACTTTTCCCCATCCCGTCCAGTCCTCCTATCTTCCTGAAAATGTGAGTTAAATAGCTGTTCTGCGGATATCAGTCAGATACTGAAAAAGATATGTCATGTACTATTTCCACGTTAAATCAGGTGGATGGAAATTACTCTCGTGTTTTTTTAATTTTTATTTGATTTTTTTTTTCAACATTTGATTGGAAATTCCGTATGTGTTAATATCATTGTTGCTTGTCTTCCTGCTGATTATGGTGTACACACTTAACTGAGGCTGCAATGTGAGAATAAATTTCATCGTGCACAGAAAAGGTCATTTTTTAAAAAACTGCATTAACGCCCGATGGCCACATGATAGCAGCATTGTACAGTGAGAAGGCACACAACTGCTTTCAAAAAATGACGTTCAACTTCCATGACAAAGAAGATGGAAAAAAAGCTTTGAACTATTTTGTGACGAATCCAACTATGGACACTTACTCGAGAGACATAACACATTTATTGCTTGGTATTCCGATGATTCGCATGAATTTAGAGCTCATTTGTGCCACCCCGCCGCAGCTTTATTTCATCTCTTGTTGACTTCAAACTCATGCTCTGCCTGTTGATTCATTGCCGAGATGGAAATAGAGAGAAGTGTAAAAGTTAAAGTCGGCACCCTTGCCTGAAGACAAAAAAAGAATGTGATGGCACGATCAATCTTTAATGTTCATATACTGAGAACAGCAAATATGTTAATTGGCCCCGTGGGAGCAGAGCGGCACTTATCTTGTCCATATGTCCAAGAACATCAACCCTACAAAAGTCAATGGGCAAATCCATAATTGAAGGACAATTTGGGAAAACGAAATTTTAAAAATATATTTTTTAAGTTATGAAGAGCCACTGTGCTTTGACCTTGGCGTAGACAAGAAGGCAATGGCATGAGAAGACAAACATACAATTAAGTGCCGGTTAAAAGATGCAAGCCGCGAGGGTCAGACGGACCGGGTCAATATCTCCCCTTCTCCGGCTTCCATCTTCCAACTGAGTGAATCCTGCGGCTAAAAATACTCGCACTGCTGCTGCTGCTTTATGACCAGAACTGATGAGCCGTGATAGTGCGGCTTGCTCACTTAATGCGCTCACAGCGAACCGTGTTTCACCACCCCCCCCCCTTCCCTTCGGCGTATCATCACACTTTCACGAAGATTATCGGAAGGAGAAATGTTTTTGATACGCCTGTTGAAAGGCTTTTTTTTTTTTTTTTAACCTGTAAAATGACAGCATAATTCCCCTCAAAGAGGCGACATCTGTGCCTCATTGTTGGTATCAATTGGCAGTGAAGGGTTATTACGGTTATGAGTTAGGTGAATGACAATGGGGTGGTGCTCTTGAGATTTGCCTGGAGCAAACATCTACTGTACTCCCAATAAAAGTCCAGGTCAATCATAAGTCGCGCGCAAGGTGGAATCTGAGAGTAAGTGGGTGCAGTCGTGGTTGCAATAATGGCTTTGACACAAGGTCGAAAGAATAGATAGTCTGGATATAAAGTCAAGCGGGAGGCTTTTATGTTGAATTTTTTTTTTCTCCAAAATTTAAATGTTCTGAAATGTTTTGTTTTCCACAATTTTATTTGGACCATCAAGATGTTTGGAGATGGTCTTAAAATAGCCTTGACCTTTGACCTCCTTGTTTATCATTTTCTTTCTAATCTCCTGAGACTCATCTCATCGTTCCTTCCTCTGGTTCATATTTAGTGTGGTCCACATCATGAAAAAGCAGAGGAGTTATCTTGAGACGTCATATTCTTGGATTCATCCAGCTGCATCAGCAGTACTTTTTTGACAACAGTTTTATTTTCCTTCTCATATACTTTGTGCTGTGTTCAGCACATCCCTGTCCCAAATACTCATCCACCTGAAAAACGTTCTTTTTGACGACACACCTGAACAAACAATCAGGATATGAATCTGTGCCACTGTACAGGAACATCAACATTCCATAAACATCTTTTTTTTTTTTGAGAGTGAGGCCCCCATGACCTTCGGTCCACTTCATTGTCAATTACATTCCATTGAGGTGTATTCATAATGGTCGAGCGCCAGGTTGTTACTGGAATATTTCACTACAAATTCAAATGTGTGCTTCCTGTTAGTGTCTCCATCTTGCGCTCATTTTGCTCACCGTAATAGGAAGCACTCACATTAGCAGCCGAGGCATACATTGTTCGGTACGTCTTCATGGGAAAAGCACATTTCACATGTAAAAAGAAAGAAACGGGTGCGTTCTTCAAAGGCTTGAGTGCAATTCAAGTAAATGTGCCCCCGTGGCAAATCACAAGATGAATGGGATTCCTGCTCTGGCCGTGTGTAATAATTGTGCAATTTATTCTGAACTAATGGCTTCATGTATTATGCATATCCGTGGAAGCAACTCCTGAATTATGATTCAGTGGTTTGATCATTGTTGCGGTGGGGTTAAAAAAGTTGTTTTCCATTGTCCGGTGGTATGTGTTGACGATGCCGCTTATTCTGTACCGTGAGCGTGAGAGTTACCCGTTTAGAAGATGTAAGCAGCCAATACAATGCTTAAAAGGCCAACTTTGTACTTTTGGCTCTGTACCTTATGTAATGCAGTGATTTGTTTTGGTTTTAATTAGTGCAACACAAGTGCTTCCTTCATTAAGCTCTTTAGGAAACAAATGCATCTTCATAATATCACACTCCTCCTTGTCCTGTCGCATTCATCACACTGTCACTTTATCCTATGCCAGCAGGAGGGTATTTTTAGTTCATTAAATCAGATGCGCAGCAAAAGTAAACGACGGCGGACAGGATGGGTAATTGGTGTCTTGAAACAAACACAAATAATGCGCCTAATATTGGCCTAATAAAAAAATTGGCATGTCAAGACAAGTGTGTGCTTGATGCACTACTTCTATTTGGATGACTTGATTCATAGTCATAGAAAATTGTTGTTGTTTACTATTTAAGTATTACTGTATTTACAGTAACAGGGTTGCACATTCATGCTTTTTCTCTCTCTCTCTATTTTTTTCTGCAGCTCACTTGATTTTTCTCTACCTCTACATGGCTAAAGCGTTTTTCCCCAAGTAAAAGGGTTGTGTGAGTGTGTTGAGAGATGCAACTTCACTTTAAATACTACTATTTAAAGTATGCGTCCGATAATATAAAGTATTTTAACAATTCCAAAGATGGCATGCCAATAAATTTATAGCAAAAAGCTGATATGAAACTTATTTTATCTGTTGATATGTAATTTACTCATCAATCAAGAGGGACGAAAAAAAAGAAAAACGTCACGGGAGGGGCTAGAGAATTATTTGGAATTTAGTTGTCTCGGAATCAATTTTACAACAGTTACACTTTGTCTCAGGGATCTATAAGAAATTAAAGAAAACCAAAAATATCGAGATAACTGAGCGTAGCTTTTTGGCCGCATGACGATATATGCTTCCGCCGCAGCTTCGAGTAGTTCCTTGCTTGTCACCTAGAAATGTCATGTCAGACAACCTCTACAGCTCGGACTGACCCAATGCACTGATTATTCGTCATAATAAAAAATTTTAAATTAAAAAAATAACCTAGGTTTCGGAGAGTGTAGAAGTAGTGGAGGAAGTGCCAGAGAGAGGGGCGCGGAGTGACATCAAAACTCCCCAGCCAGTGGTTGAGTTTCACCAGCTGCACGTTGGTTTCACTTCGTGCCGGGCATGGCTCACGTTCCAGCGGGTCTCTCGTTCGCCGACGTCCACCTAGAGCAGTAAAACGGGGCGGAACAGCGAAGTGCCGTAAAACCTTTTTTTTTTTTCTCATTTTTTGGACAGGATGAACAACAGTTTCACGAGCAGTTTCTCGAGCAGTTTCACGAGCATGGCGTCGATAGGCGACTTTGACCCGCTCAACGCGTCGATTCCTGCGACCAAAGTTGAAATCACAGTGTCATGCAGGTAAGACAATCATCAACAACGGTTTCGCTTTTTAAACTCTCTTTGCTCCTTTGTCAGCGTTAGGCTCGATGCCGTCAATTTTCCAGCTGCTTGCTATTGGATATTTGCGACATTCGAAACTTTTATTACCTTCTGTCACAAGGTTTGAAATCAAGTTTTGACTGGCTAATAAACTCCGCCCTGACGTCATAAACAAACATGACCTCGCGTGAAACCGAAAAGACAACAAGTGAGACATTGAAGTCTGCTATTCTGACATTGCCGTAGCCGTTGAATTTCAAAACATAGCATGTCTCTGGCAGAATGAACGCGAGAGTGTTGTCCGGCATGGTGTGGGTTCAACCTCAGTTGTAAACATGTCTTTCTGTCCACGGGTGGGGATTTCCTCTTTGATACATGGTGAGGGTCCGCGGGGTGAATAGGACACACGGTTCCTTCGGATGTGCGTACCTTGGCCACCAGGGGGGAGTATAATGCACTTGACCCTCTTTTCAACGTACCCCGTTTACGTGTGTCTTTTTTTTTGAGAGTGAGGCCCCCATGACCTTCGGTCCACTTCATTGTCAATTACATTCCATTGAGGTGTATTCATAATGGTCGAGCGCCAGGTTGTTACTGGAATATTTCACTACAAATTCAAATGTGTGCTTCCTGTTAGTGTCTCCATCTTGCGCTCATTTTGCTCATCGTAATAGGAAGCACTCACATTAGCAGCCGAGGCATACATTGTTCGGTACGTCTTCATGGGAAAAGCACATTTCACATGTAAAAAGAAAGAAACGGGTGCGTTCTTCAAAGGCTTGAGTGCAATTCAAGTAAATGTGCCCCCGTGGCAAATCACAAGATGAATGGGATTCCTGCTCTGGCCGTGTGTAATAATTGTGCAATTTATTCTGAACTAATGGCTTCATGTATTATGCATATCCGTGGAAGCAACTCCTGAATTATGATTCAGTGGTTTGATCATTGTTGCGGTGGGGTTAAAAAAGTTGTTTTCCATTGTCCGGTGGTATGTGTTGACGATGCCGCTTATTCTGTACCGTGAGCGTGAGAGTTAACCGTTTAGAAGATGTAAGCAGCCAATACAATGCTTAAAAGGCCAACTTTGTACTTTTGGCTCTGTACCTTATGTAATGCAGTGATTTGTTTTGGTTTTAATTAGTGCAACACAAGTGCTTCCTTCATTAAGCTCTTTAGGAAACAAATGCATCTTCATAATATCACACTCCTCCTTGTCCTGTCGCATTCATCACACTGTCACTTTATCCTATGCCAGCAGGAGGGTATTTTTAGTTCATTAAATCAGATGCGCAGCAAAAGTAAACGACGGCGGACAGGATGGGTAATTGGTGTCTTGAAACAAACACAAATAATGCGCCTAATATTGGCCTAATAAAAAAATTGGCATGTCAAGACAAGTGTGTGCTTGATGCACTACTTCTATTTGGATGACTTGATTCATAGTCATAGAAAATTGTTGTTGTTTACTATTTAAGTATTACTGTATTTACAGTAACAGGGTTGCACATTCATGCTTTTTCTCTCTCTCTCTATTTTTTTCTGCAGCTCACTTGATTTTTCTCTACCTCTACATGGCTAAAGCGTTTTTCCCCAAGTAAAAGGGTTGTGTGAGTGTGTTGAGAGATGCAACTTCACTTTAAATACTACTATTTAAAGTATGCGTCCGATAATATAAAGTATTTTAACAATTCCAAAGATGGCATGCCAATAAATTTATAGCAAAAAGCTGATATGAAACTTATTTTATCTGTTGATATGTAATTTACTCATCAATCAAGAGGGACGAAAAAAAAGAAAAACGTCACGGGAGGGGCTAGAGAATTATTTGGAATTTAGTTGTCTCGGAATCAATTTTACAACAGTTACACTTTGTCTCAGGGATCTATAAGAAATTAAAGAAAACCAAAAATATCGAGATAACTGAGCGTAGCTTTTTGGCCGCATGACGATATATGCTTCCGCCGCAGCTTCGAGTAGTTCCTTGCTTGTCACCTAGAAATGTCATGTCAGACAACCTCTACAGCTCGGACTGACCCAATGCACTGATTATTCGTCATAATAAAAAATTTTAAATTAAAAAAATAACCTAGGTTTCGGAGAGTGTAGAAGTAGTGGAGGAAGTGCCAGAGAGAGGGGCGCGGAGTGACATCAAAACTCCCCAGCCAGTGGTTGAGTTTCACCAGCTGCACGTTGGTTTCACTTCGTGCCGGGCATGGCTCACGTTCCAGCGGGTCTCTCGTTCGCCGACGTCCACCTAGAGCAGTAAAACGGGGCGGAACAGCGAAGTGCCGTAAAACCTTTTTTTTTTTTTCTCATTTTTTGGACAGGATGAACAACAGTTTCACGAGCAGTTTCTCGAGCAGTTTCACGAGCATGGCGTCGATAGGCGACTTTGACCCGCTCAACGCGTCGATTCCTGCGACCAAAGTTGAAATCACAGTGTCATGCAGGTAAGACAATCATCAACAACGGTTTCGCTTTTTAAACTCTCTTTGCTCCTTTGTCAGCGTTAGGCTCGATGCCGTCAATTTTCCAGCTGCTTGCTATTGGATATTTGCGACATTCGAAACTTTTATTACCTTCTGTCACAAGGTTTGAAATCAAGTTTTGACTGGCTAATAAACTCCGCCCTGACGTCATAAACAAACATGACCTCGCGTGAAACCGAAAAGACAACAAGTGAGACATTGAAGTCTGCTATTCTGACATTGCCGTAGCCGTTGAATTTCAAAACATAGCATGTCTCTGGCAGAATGAACGCGAGAGTGTTGTCCGGCATGGTGTGGGTTCAACCTCAGTTGTAAACATGTCTTTCTGTCCACGGGTGGGGATTTCCTCTTTGATACATGGTGAGGGTCCGCGGGGTGAATAGGACACACGGTTCCTTCGGATGTGCGTACCTTGGCCACCAGGGGGGAGTATAATGCACTTGACCCTCTTTTCAACGTACCCCGTTTACGTGTGTACCCCGATAACGTTCACATTTCAAAGTCCCGATTTCACTTAATTCATTCTCTATTTGCCGATTTTGCGAACAGCGAACACCTTTCTGAACGTAAATTTCATTAGAACGATAACAAAATAGTGACAATGCCTCCGTTACAACTAACTGGGGGAAGCTAACTGCCGCCTCGACCTTGCTTATGAACAAAATGTACACCGCGGGATTCCACTCTGTTGCTTAGCAGCGCTACTGATCGACTCGTACATTGTTGTACTTCCGGAGGCACAGCTCGTGGTCCTGAGCACACGGTCCGAAAACATGTCTGGTAAACGGAAGAAAATCTTGCAGTCTGTGAAGGCTGAAATTCCCTTTCACTTTTGAAAGGGAGTCAGCCGAGACTACGAATTGGCAAAGTCACCCATTTCGACAATCATCCGTAATGTCACTGATTTTGACCTGGAAACGGTCCGGCTGTACAGGAGCTCTCCTGAAATCTCTGATGACCGCCAAGCCCCCCTGTTCTGTCCTATGAATTGTAACAGGTGGACATACAGGTTCATTGGATCCTCTGCCATCTCTTGAATGAGTATTTTCTGCCTGTCACCATTAGACTTCATATAATCAGTTTTGGGACCGATATGTGAGTTGATTAAAAAAGATCACTTATCCGATCACAGGATGGATCAATATGTCTATTTAGATAACTTAGGTGTATACTGATTTGACAGCCCTGTTGTTTCACTTTTAATACGCTGCGTTGTTGCCATGTAATAAATTCCAAAGCAGTGGTGGAACTTTCCGCTTGAGTATCCGAGGGTATTTTTAGTTCATTAAATCAGATGCGCAGCAAAAGTAAACGACGGCGGACAGGATGGGTAATTGGTGTCTTGAAACAAACACAAATAATGCGCCTAATATTGGCCTAATAAAAAAATTGGCATGTCAAGACAAGTGTGTGCTTGATGCACTACTTCTATTTGGATGACTTGATTCATAGTCATAGAAAATTGTTGTTGTTTACTATTTAAGTATTACTGTATTTACAGTAACAGGGTTGCACATTCATGCTTTTTCTCTCTCTCTCTATTTTTTTCTGCAGCTCACTTGATTTTTCTCTACCTCTACATGGCTAAAGCGTTTTTCCCCAAGTAAAAGGGTTGTGTGAGTGTGTTGAGAGATGCAACTTCACTTTAAATACTACTATTTAAAGTATGCGTCCGATAATATAAAGTATTTTAACAATTCCAAAGATGGCATGCCAATAAATTTATAGCAAAAAGCTGATATGAAACTTATTTTATCTGTTGATATGTAATTTACTCATCAATCAAGAGGGACGAAAAAAAAGAAAAACGTCACGGGAGGGGCTAGAGAATTATTTGGAATTTAGTTGTCTCGGAATCAATTTTACAACAGTTACACTTTGTCTCAGGGATCTATAAGAAATTAAAGAAAACCAAAAATATCGAGATAACTGAGCGTAGCTTTTTGGCCGCATGACGATATATGCTTCCGCCGCAGCTTCGAGTAGTTCCTTGCTTGTCACCTAGAAATGTCATGTCAGACAACCTCTACAGCTCGGACTGACCCAATGCACTGATTATTCGTCATAATAAAAAATTTTAAATTAAAAAAATAACCTAGGTTTCGGAGAGTGTAGAAGTAGTGGAGGAAGTGCCAGAGAGAGGGGCGCGGAGTGACATCAAACCTCCCCAGCCAGTGGTTGAGTTTCACCAGCTGCACGTTGGTTTCACTTCGTGCCGGGCATGGCTCACGTTCCAGCGGGTCTCTCGTTCGCCGACGTCCACCTAGAGCAGTAAAACGGGGCGGAACAGCGAAGTGCCGTAAAACCTTTTTTTTTTTTTCTCATTTTTTGGACAGGATGAACAACAGTTTCACGAGCAGTTTCTCGAGCAGTTTCACGAGCATGGCGTCGATAGGCGACTTTGACCCGCTCAACGCGTCGATTCCTGCGACCAAAGTTGAAATCACAGTGTCATGCAGGTAAGACAATCATCAACAACGGTTTCGCTTTTTAAACTCTCTTTGCTCCTTTGTCAGCGTTAGGCTCGATGCCGTCAATTTTCCAGCTGCTTGCTATTGGATATTTGCGACATTCGAAACTTTTATTACCTTCTGTCACAAGGTTTGAAATCAAGTTTTGACTGGCTAATAAACTCCGCCCTGACGTCATAAACAAACATGACCTCGCGTGAAACCGAAAAGACAACAAGTGAGACATTGAAGTCTGCTATTCTGACATTGCCGTAGCCGTTGAATTTCAAAACATAGCATGTCTCTGGCAGAATGAACGCGAGAGTGTTGTCCGGCATGGTGTGGGTTCAACCTCAGTTGTAAACATGTCTTTCTGTCCACGGGTGGGGATTTCCTCTTTGATACATGGTGAGGGTCCGCGGGGTGAATAGGACACACGGTTCCTTCGGATGTGCGTACCTTGGCCACCAGGGGGGAGTATAATGCACTTGACCCTCTTTTCAACGTACCCCGTTTACGTGTGTACCCCGATAACGTTCACATTTCAAAGTCCCGATTTCACTTAATTCATTCTCTATTTGCCGATTTTGCGAACAGCGAACACCTTTCTGAACGTAAATTTCATTAGAACGATAACAAAATAGTGACAATGCCTCCGTTACAACTAACTGGGGGAAGCTAACTGCCGCCTCGACCTTGCTTATGAACAAAATGTACACCGCGGGATTCCACTCTGTTGCTTAGCAGCGCTACTGATCGACTCGTACATTGTTGTACTTCCGGAGGCACAGCTCGTGGTCCTGAGCACACGGTCCGAAAACATGTCTGGTAAACGGAAGAAAATCTTGCAGTCTGTGAAGGCTGAAATTCCCTTTCACTTTTGAAAGGGAGTCAGCCGAGACTACGAATTGGCAAAGTCACCCATTTCGACAATCATCCGTAATGTCACTGATTTTGACCTGGAAACGGTCCGGCTGTACAGGAGCTCTCCTGAAATCTCTGATGACCGCCAAGCCCCCCTGTTCTGTCCTATGAATTGTAACAGGTGGACATACAGGTTCATTGGATCCTCTGCCATCTCTTGAATGAGTATTTTCTGCCTGTCACCATTAGACTTCATATAATCAGTTTTGGGACCGATATGTGAGTTGATTAAAAAAGATCACTTATCCGATCACAGGATGGATCAATATGTCTATTTAGATAACTTAGGTGTATACTGATTTGACAGCCCTGTTGTTTCACTTTTAATACGCTGCGTTGTTGCCATGTAATAAATTCCAAAGCAGTGGTGGAACTTTCCGCTTGAGTATCCAGACAAACCAACTATTCACACTCTCTTTCACAGCAACGGACTGCTTGGAGTCGTCAGTTAACCTAACGCACAAACCCGTCTGCTAGCCGTTCACGTTTGTGGCTTGTTCCTCACCCTCATGAGAACGAGCACTTAAAGCTGCCTAGCGAGGCTTATTTTTGTATGCTAACGTTGTCGAAAGAGCATGTTATGTTCCACCAAACTATATGAACGTGCTTTGGCAGAGTTTGCTCATGTCTGAGTCACCTGGCTTCTCAGCCCTTCGGGAGGGCGGGAGGACGTTTGTTTTGGTGGCCATCCACCCACCTCCAACCCGAGGCAGCGCTGAAATGCCTCCGCTCTCACAATGCTGCGTCGTTTTTCTTTTTTTTTTTTTTTTTTTCGACACACCAGCCAGTGTACAATGTCTCCATGGTTACGCAGGTTTGGAAGTTATTGTGTGCGAGGTGACAAAAAGGGGAAGGGAATGCGAAATCGTGTGCGATATAGAGACACAGACTTTCATATCACGGGGAGAATAACCTGACACAAATGATCATATCTGTATTTTACCAAGGTGTACTCATGTCAGACAACCTCTACAGCTCGGACTGACCCAATGCACTGATTATTCGTCATAATAAAAAATTTTAAATTAAAAAAATAACCTAGGTTTCGGAGAGTGTAGAAGTAGTGGAGGAAGTGCCAGAGAGAGGGGCGCGGAGTGACATCAAAACTCCCCAGCCAGTGGTTGAGTTTCACCAGCTGCACGTTGGTTTCACTTCGTGCCGGGCATGGCTCACGTTCCAGCGGGTCTCTCGTTCGCCGACGTCCACCTAGAGCAGTAAAACGGGGCGGAACAGCGAAGTGCCGTAAAACCTTTTTTTTTTTTTCATTTTTTTGACAGGGTGAACAAAAGAGAGCAGTAAAACGGGGCGGAACAGCGAAGTGCCGTAAAACCTTTTTTTTTTTTTCTCATTTTTTGGACAGGATGAACAACAGTTTCACGAGCAGTTTCTCGAGCAGTTTCACGAGCATGCCGTCGATAGGCGACTTTGACCCGCTCAACGCGTCGATTCCTGCGACCAAAGTTGAAATCACAGTGTCATGCAGGTAAGACAATCATCAACAACGGTTTCGCTTTTTAAACTCTCTTTGCTCCTTTGTCAGCGTTAGGCTCGATGCCGTCAATTTTCCAGCTGCTTGCTATTGGATATTTGCGACATTCGAAACTTTTATTACCTTCTGTCACAAGGTTTGAAATCAAGTTTTGACTGGCTAATAAACTCCGCCCTGACGTCATAAACAAACATGACCTCGCGTGAAACCGAAAAGACAACAAGTGAGACATTGAAGTCTGCTATTCTGACATTGCCGTAGCCGTTGAATTTCAAAACATAGCATGTCTCTGGCAGAATGAACGCGAGAGTGTTGTCCGGCATGGTGTGGGTTCAACCTCAGTTGTAAACATGTCTTTCTGTCCACGGGTGGGGATTTCCTCTTTGATACATGGTGAGGGTCCGCGGGGTGAATAGGACACACGGTTCCTTCGGATGTGCGTACCTTG